GGGGGGCTCGGGATGATGAAACTCAGATTCCTGAGGTTGATACCCTGCTCGATCCCCGGTCTCCGATTACTTGCCCGATGATAAAAAAAAAACAAAAAAACAAAAAACAAAAAAACAAAAACCCGAAAAAAAGCCTGTTGCGGGTGGTCACTTGGTCAGGTACACTCTGTACACACTTTTGAAATTTGGCGCGCTTGGGCGGGATCACAGGGCAAGCCTTGAGAAAGCCTCAGTCACGCGATGACAGAGTGCGCTAGGATCGCTGGCTTGCTTACGACAATTCGACTGGCGCGCTGCGAGCGGTGAAAAGTGTTTTGAGAGACGTTGAAATTTCGTCCAGCGAGAAGTTGCCTCCTGTTATCGGTGTAAATAAATACAGTATTTGCGATAAATGAAAATTAAACCGACGTGATGTGCAAACGGGAATGTGACTAAATCAAGAATTATCCGCGGAAGTGATAATTACAGCACACGAAACATGTGAAGTTAGTTATAAGCCAAGTTATGTGAACGATAGTCCGTGAATAAAAAACCGCCGTTACGAATGTAAGTTTCAACGATTCCAAGAGCGTCAGATTGCGTTTAGATTCGAATGTGAATTCGTTTGTTTGATTAAAGTATGAAATGCACTTGAAAGGTGATCAATTAGTTACCCGCGGTATTTATCACCTGCTGTTGGCGTAGTAAAAAGATTCCATTCATGGCTATGATCAAAATTGTAAATAGATCGTGGGCGAGGTGGGTAAAAAGGGGGGTAAGTTTGGAGGCCACGCTAGAATGCTTACATCATACGACGTAATAGCGTCGTTTCAAGTCGCTTTCGAGGAGTTTGACTGAGAAATGATGTTCTTTGTTAATAAATGACGGTAAAAGGGTCAACTCAACCAATTTTAAGGAAATATATACATTCTTAACTGCGGTGGGTACATAAACTTTTGAGAACCTTCACTGCAGTGTTTAACAACAAGGTTTGTTTTGACAGGCCTAACCTCTCAGAATTCATGGGTGCTTGTTTTGTGTGACTTTAGTGAAATAAAAGTTGCATAAGGTACTTTTTTATCAATTCCTTGCAGGAAATGATTTCTCGCTACAGAAGAATTGACATTATCTAGTCAATGAATTATATTGGAGAATTTGAATCAATGATAATGGTGGCAAAACAGTCCCTAAAAAATCACCGAGAAGAAGTACGCAGACGATATCTTTAAGGTTTTTCATCCGTAGGAGGAACTGACGATCAGCAATTCATATTTCACTTGGAGATACAAAAATACTGCATAAATGCAATCTTAAAGCCATTATGTAATGAAAAAATTGCATAATTACTAGTTAGAGAAATGACAAATGGTTGACGAAAGGTGACCTGAGACGTAAACCTAGCGAAATTGTTGCCGGTGTTACAGTGGAAGAGAGAGAAATAATTATCGTGATATATTTAATCAGAAAAGAGTAATTAATACACACTTGCAGAATGAACCTATCATTAAGAAATATCTTAGATGTCAATAGTGAGAAAACGCGCCTGTTGCATTAAGACTTCAATAATATTCTGGCTAACCTTTAGAATGATCATTTCAAAATTATTTCCCTAAATTTGATGGAACTATTAAATTCCAACCAACCTCCAAGCAATTTACTTCTCAGTTCAGTTTTGAGACTCGGGTATGCAACTTCTCGGAGCACACTCAAAGAGAAATTCTTGTTGCTAACAGCTATGTCTCTAAAAGTCTCTGTTTTGTGAAAGTGGTGTTTCAGACTCAAAAAAGGGTGCGTTAGACTACAATAAGGAATTTTGAACCCTCGCCTTCATTATGCACTTGTCATTCAGATTAACATAGCTACCCGAACGCCCAGACAAAATGTCACACTTAGCTATACTTGCTTTATTTTAAGTAAAATTAAATTCGCACTTTAGGCCTATCATCAATAAGAGCTGAGAAGTGACAATTCCTGTAAATTTTTGTGTAATGACATGCAATATCGAACCTCTTGATGACCTTAAGAATGATGTAATTGGACAACATCAACCAAAATCGGTCAACACACATTTCAGTAGCCTGAGTGCAAGACTATGTATCTCTGTTTGCGACATTGCAGACGTTCTGTCATACTTTATTTTTTCTTTGAAAATCCAGTCTACGTAATTTCTTGAAAACTTCCTTGATTTTACTTTGGCCAACGGAAGATTCTCATAAATTTCAAGTTGTAAAAATGACAAGTTTCTCTTTGAAAAAGTCAAATAGGAGCAGAAAATTTGATGCGCCGAGATGGAGGTACTTGGTCTCTCACTCAGGCCTTTGATACGTAGACTATAACGTAATGCATTCATTTTTATAGAGCATTAGGCGTTGCCTACAAGAATGGAGAGGCTGTAACTACTCAGTTTCATGACGTCAAACTAGTAGAGTAATCGCAATGTTAACCAATCAGAGCTGCCGTCGATTAGCCGAAGTTGCATGAGCGGCACGTTTGAATCTTTGTGGGGTAACGATTTTCGGTATTTAGTCATGTTTAGCTTTTATTTCCTCAATTATCAGACAATGTAATTTGTAAACTAGGCAGTTTTCTGATGTGAAATTTTATCTTCTTTTAAAAAGGTTCTTATGAATTTTTGCATCAGATCAACCCCTGAAAAGATATTAGCACATAAGGAACATGTGTCATGCGTTCTCCCATAAGAACACATGTTAAATCGCGCCCGAGTTTCATCTACTAGCATGACGTCACAGGATCGTAGTTACGGCCTCTCTATTCTCGTAGGCAATGCATTAGGTGCACTGAGACTATAGTGAAGGGTTTTTAAATAGATCCAACTCCTTAATTAGGATGTTTCGGAAAGAACTGTTTCTGCTCCGAGCACCCACAGTAGATTTGTTGCCGGTATGGTGAAACTGGAGGCGAACTATACTTAAGGCAGTACTTTTCATCATACTGGAAAGTGGAGATGTCATTTCATGCACAATCTTGGTTTGTGTATCCTCAAGTTAACTGCGACTAGAATCAGCTTCCGTATATTAGGCGTTTTCTATTTTCCTTTCGTGTTTTATTTTGAATACAAGAAAACTAAGCTCCATTCCACCTTTAAATTTTGACTATTTACTTTATATACTTTATGAAAGAGAAGGTTCAGGAAAAGTTTTGAGACATTACAAATGAAACGAGGCAGGAAATCAAGCAACATGGAATGCAGTTATGCTGACTCTAGTTAAATTTGTTCAATTTATTGTCACTTAACGCACATTAAGTTAGTAAGCACACACCAAAACGTTTTGGAGGCCAAAATGATACTTTGTGTATGTATCAACTATTTAGCCACATGATAACTTTGCGAGAAATGCAAATTAATAACTCTTTGGTGCTCCAAGAATTTTTATTCTGATAGAAATTTTTGGCTTTTTTTCTCCGCAAAATAGTGTGGACCCAGCACTATTTTACCACCTTATTAATAGTTCATATTTATAATGCGTCAAATGCTGTTGGATTTTGCAAAAATCATACGATTTTTTTGCTCAGAATAAATACATGCTTGCACCCATGAGTGATAAAAAAATAACTAAGAGCGGACAAACAAAAATTTTAATGCTGATTCCTAATGTTTTTTAGATTAAGTTTAAAGTTTTCATACCTGTGAAAAAAATAGTGTACTAAAAATGAAAGGAAAAAAAGAAAAAAATGCAGACTATAAAATTTGAGATAAGAAAGGGATTCAAATGGGAGGGATAGCTACTTTTAAAGTTTCACTAGGAGAAATTTTTTTCAAAACTCTTAATATAAGTTTCATTGCTTTGGAGTGAATCATTATGCCTTCTAACGTTTCACCTTGGTACGTATTCATAAGCAATGAGAAAATTTGGGAGCTGGTGGTTCCAGTTCATGTAATAAGGTGATACTATCCGGTGGGTACTATAAGGTAACTAATCCGAGGGAATTTAAAAACTGAAGCAACCTTTCTCGTCGTTGGTTGACCTATTACCGATATTGTAGAAAAAATTGTAGGCCCTCTCCGAGAAAAACCTTCGATAAATGATAAATACCCACTGACATATCATACAAACTGAATTTCATTTCCTCTTCCGAGTTAAAGTCACAAGGATAAAAGAGTAGGAGAAATGGGTTAGATGGATGGTTTGACTTTTAAATGCAATTGAGTAAGCAATAAATAAACAAAATAAAAAAAGGTCGTTGGTTGAGTGAAGCCAAATTAGTTTCATTACAAAGTGAGTCTAAGTAGAAATTGGATTTTGACAACAGCTAGCCCACACTGCGTCTGAACCTCGGACTTTCTGAAGGCTGATAAAATACCGACGAACATTACTTTCACAAGTATTGAAAAACTGAAACTAAATTTGTAGGTTAATGGTCTGAAGTACCGCGTCCTCGTGAGTGTTCTGCAATTTTTGGGAATTTCTGACAAAAAGTAATTACTTGTCCTCAATTTCTGTTTTTAAAAAGCTATCTTAAAAGAAAGTTCTTAGCTGTTCTTAATTAAACATTGATTATTAATTATTTACTCATTACATACTTTATTCAATAAGGGTTGAAAACAGTTGTCTTCAAGTCAAGGATACTGCAATGCTGACTTAGAATATAATCGCTGCGGTTCAGTCTTCTCACGTTATTTTTAGACATCTTTCCCACCACAGAAAATCATAATAGATCCTGGAAAGAACTTACTGGTTTTTGAAAACCAGTAAGGAAATGGAATAGATCTATGGCTAACTGCAACTGCACGACATGATTTCCACTTATAATGCCGATTCTGACTAGAAATTTGTTTTCTCTGACTTTCCTCTGATCTTTTACTAGCTGAGGCAAAGCTCCTGACAAATACGACTTGTTCGAGTTAATATTGCCACTATACCCCCTATTTATTTTTTATTGCAACCTTGGATACCTAGCACGAAGGTTGATTCTCTATTCCTCCTCTGTATCACTCTTTATCCAAATGTGAATTTGATTAAAATCCTTGACAACTGTCATGCCGCATAATAGCTTCAAACTACTCATAATTTTTTGGATAGTAGATGGGTCAGTCTGCAATGTGGAAACCCGTTTTTTGCCGAAAGTTTCCAGCCTTTTCGGCAATTAAATTGGCTTTTCCTTATTTAAATCCAAAATTATGATAGCTTTCCCCTACAGACTAGGAAAAAAAAATTAGGATGGCTTCTTTCTGCAAGAACTTATACCTATTTGCCTTAAGAACATAATAAAAACAAAAATATGGAAAACTTACGACGGCCCTCTCCGATTTTTTTCCTGTTCTCACAAGGTTTTCCTTCTCTCACACGACCAGGCCAGTTACCTGACTGGGTGGTTCATGTACCCTTATTTTTTTATGATTGCTCATAGAATAGGATGGCAGGAAATCATAAAATCCGTCCAATACAAAATTTCTGCCTTTTACAAAACATGCTGAGTGATGTCTGCTACCGCATTAATGGAAATTATGATTTCTTCAACTCTCCTTATGTTAGTGATAGACAAGAAGGGTACAGACTGATTTTACTTATCACAAGCCAACAGTATCATGACAAGAGAGACCATTGTAGGCACTGATGAGATGAACAGCAGTATTAGGATAAGGGCATTGGGCAGGATGATTTCAGTTACCATAATATGTTTCTTCATGGCTTAAACTTTCAAATTCCGTTACACAAGCGTCTGACCTAAGTCATTTGCTTCTCACTGTCAATTTCTGCTGCCTGTTCTAATTAGTTTTTCATCTTAGAGGGCTCTCTAATGTTATTGATCCAAAATTGGGTGACAGGCAGCAGAAATTAACAGTGAGGAGTGAATAACTTAGGTCAGACGTTTGTGTTACAGAATTTGAAAGTTTAAGCCATGAAGAACATGTTATGGTTACTGAAATCATCCTGCCCAATGCCCTTATCCTAATCCTGCTATCCATCTCATCAGTGCATACGATGGTTTCTCTCATCATGATCCTGTTGACTTGTGATGAGTAAAATCAGTCTATGCCCTTCTTGTTTATCACTAACATAAGGAGGGTTGAAGAAATCATAATTCCCATCAATGCAGTAGCCGACATCACTCAGCATATTTTGTAAAAGGCAGTATCTTCACTGATGTTGAAGGCATAAATTTTGTATTAAACAGATTTTATGATTTTCTGCCATTCTATGAGCAATCATAAAAAATTAGGGGTACAAGACCCACCCACGCAGCGTCAGGCAAAAATTAGGGGGAGGCATTAGAAATTCAGGCAAAAAATAAGGAAAATTAAGCGTTGTGACCAGTTCTCTGGTCTGAAACATGGTAAAATTGACTCCATTTATAAAGACCATTTCAAAACTTTGAGTCAGATTCTCATAAATTTGAAGGGCTGATTAATGATGATAATGCTATTATGCTGAGTCAAAAGTAGGGCCAATTTCTGTAATGGAAGTATAGAAGAGAGATCTAGTTCCTTCCACAAAACGTCTGTTGATCTTCACTCTAAACTCAAAGACAACTTCAGTATCAATTCAAAGATACTTCAAGAGCTTGCGAGAGCAAAACACATGATTCCATACGGGACAAAAGTAGTGCAAAAGGTACAAGCCACCCGCAAGAATTTGAAAAGTCTTTTGCGTTCATCCTAATTGTAAATCAGCGTCTATCACAATTTCAGTATCAATTCAATTTTATCTCTAACACTCAAACGGCCAACCACATTCTTTCATACAAAAGCGGTACAAGAGATACGCTTTGCTGCAGCAATACAACCTAATATTCTACCTAACAAAAGTGAATTGCCTTATAGCTGCTGGTATTTTTCAGTGAGCTTACAACAGTTTCCGCCCTTTTTACAGGAAAGTGTCCTCTGAATCTTAACCATGTTTCCTATCCAAAAATATATGATTTGTACAAGATAGAAAGTAAAAATTGGACGACAGGGTCATCTAAATATGGGTATCTTAACTAATTCGCTGGTGCATAGTTTTATATGGTGCCAGATAAAGAGTATATTGTCAAATAAGAACTAATACACTAATTTTCTAGTGATCACCAGACGATTAAAGTCCTTTCTTCCATTTCTAACATTCAGGTCTTTTTTAAAATATTTTCTTGTCTGTTACTAAACAAGGTGCGATTTCTGCTGAAGTTAGATGAATATTAGCAGCAAATTCATTTTGATACTATTTCATTTCATCCTTTTTTTCATATTTTTTCATTATAAAAATTTTGATGAAACGGCAAAAAAAAGAAAAGAATAGGAAAAAGCTAAAAATATAAGACAAAAAAGAATATTTCTGTAAAAGAATGTGCAATATCTCATTTCCTTCTTGCAATTGCTCATTAAACTCATGTGACAAATAGGTACTTGAAATTTTGACTTGTCATTGTCCAGGATGATACCCGAAACCCTGTCTTTAAAATACGTACAAAAATTTCGAAGATAAGTAGGGTCTTTTGAACTTTTAAATGCTTATTTCCCAAGACCATGTTTTTTGCTTTCCGATCTTTCTCACTTGAATAATTCCAATTGAGATCTCACCTGGCACTCTGATTGATACTGACCATTTCTACTTCACTGCACACCTCATATTAAAGGGGAAGTCAGAAGGAAACAATTTTCACTAATGCCTGATTTTTAACATTGGATGAAAAAAAAATTTCAACTGTGACTAATTTTTGGTTCTGTTTCTGATTTCTTCTGTTTCCAGGAATAATGGAGCCGATCGCTCTACGAGAACTAGAAAAACTAACTATTTGCGGAAGTTGTCACCAGAAGTACAATGACTTTGATTTGATACCAAAGATACTAAGTTGTCAGCACTACTTTTGTTTTTATTGTATAAAATTAAAAATGATTAAAGGAAATGAAGTGTTCTGTGTGAACTGTTGGAAAAAAACAACACTTGAGGATCAGAACCCCTCAAAATTACCGACATACGTTCCAGTTCTAATTTTAACGAACCATTTACCACAAATTTGTCAAGCCAATAATAATGAAATAAGGATAAAAATCTGTGATAACGAGCGAAAGGTAAGTCATTCTTTAGTAAGAAGAGACAAAAGGATGAGACTTAATGTTTTGAGGTCGCTGATCTAAGTAGTCAAGATAAGACTATATTGCAGACAAGATGATTTTAGCCCTACTGTCAAGAAGGTGTTCTCTCACAATTGATTCCAGCCATAAGCTACTCGTGTAAATCGTTGCAACATTCCAAGGGGGAAATTACACGAAATTCTTGAATGAGTAGGCGAAAAGACTCGAAAGACTTGCTACCTATTAGGTTCATAAGATGCTGCAATTAATTCAGGTAACATTGGAGTTGATTGCCAGTTTCTCAATGCAACTGACAATTCTCCAGAAAACCAAAAAACATAGTGCACTGAATCAAAATCCAGGATGTAAAAAACCTGGATGACAACTTTAGAATAGTGTCACGGATACTTTGATAGTTAATGTATCAGGCTCGCAACATCGAATTACAATTGGAGTGTTTGTATGGACATTCCAGATTTTTAACATTCTGAATGTCAATTCAGCAAACTTCATTGCAGGCTTCTCATTGCGCTTGTTGAAACTTTCTTTTCCCTAATTTTACTGATCAAGAAATAAATTGAATACAAGAGCATTTCATCAAGTGACTCGGTGGAAATGGCAAATACAGAGTGTCTAATTTATCAAAAAAGTATTCATACACTGAAGAAACGTGGATTTTTCAAGGTCACCATGAAAGTATCGAAATCGTACCAATTTTGCATGAAGCACAGAAAAGGAAAAATGTTTTCATGAAAGTACCTTCCTTTTATCTACCGATGAGTAGCCTTAAAATGTGGTTAGATGAATAAATTTCGGAACAACATTACTTGATCGTGGTGTTTCAAAATCTTCTCTCCTATTTAATTTGCTTAGTAGAAAAAAATTCCCGGAAATTTTCACACAGGTGATAAAAATCATAAACGTTTTAAAAAAATGTTCAACAATTTTACAATGATAACAAATAGAAATAAGCAACACTGCTGACTAAGATTAAAGGTTTGATAATTTCATTGTCGATTAGCAATTTCTCCACATGTAAGATATGACAAGTCTCTACATGTTAAACCTTCCTATTTCTCTGCGCCAAATCATCCCTCCACCAATTCTTAGTCCTCTCCCAAATGTTCCAGTTTATTCCTCTAGCATTCTTTCATTTTGTTTTCCTCCTTCACTGAATCAATTACGTCAAATCTTAGAAAATTTAACTAGTAGTGTATCTATTGATGAAATTTTGTTCCCCTTGATATTTTAAATGCGTTGAAAGTAAGGAAAATGTGAGAAACAGGCAAGAAAAAGTTATGGATTTTAGGAGACTCCTAAAAAGAGGTATTTTTGGTGAGGCGAGGATAAGGTAATGACAGGGCAAGGATTCATGTGGTATCATTGTGCTTATTGAAATGGTCAGAGATATGATGATACAGGATTTAATGAAAGCTAACTATGAGAGCCTGCCAACAGGAGCTTCCTGAATGCCTAGAAAAGATGTTCTTCTAATAACCAGATATAACATTTCATAAGCTCAGAAACTTCTTTCTCTTTTGATCTCCTGATATACTTTATCTCGGAGCTTATGGTATAGATACATCGTTACTAGTGTTAGGAGACGATCCATGAATGGGCTGCAGTGGAAAGATGTGGAAAATAACAGTGCCAGTTTTCAAAATTTAAACTTTCAACAATTATATACTTTGAGAATGTGTGGCTGTATGGTTATATAGTTGGCAATAAAATGCGCCCAAAAAAAAAAAGATCTTGCCAATTATGTAGTTTAAAAACTCTTTTTCACATTTTTATAAAGTGAAAAGTCAATACATTTCCAATTGACTCGGCTTTGGAAAAACACACAGAATAAGAGGGCTTTGTTGCCCATATTAAGTTATCTGACAAGCAATTTAACTTTGCTATCAACTTTTTGTGCACATTAAATTCTTAAATATTGGTGGGATTATTATATTTTAAGTTTTCTTTACAATCTGGAAAACGGTTTCATCTAACAAGAAAAATAAATCCTTATCACTACTTTAAGTTCTTGGGCTCTTCAATTTTAATCTTTCCTCGTAATTATAACCAGAGATTTACTGATCAAGATTTTTCGGCTATCAGCAGGTAAAAATCTCGAGATGAGTTAGCTGTCTTTAAGGTTTAAAATTGCGACCAATGTCTTTCATTGGTGGATAGCAGTTCTCTGTGGTTGCATGGTGCCCACGGCAAGCAGAGGACTCTCTGGTAGTGAGATAATAAGTACAAAAAATACCATTAGGCGAGAGAAAAGCAGTAAAAACGATTGAATCAGTGAGAACGAAAACACACCAACTCAGTAACTCAAAAATGTTCAATCTCCCCTAAAGAGAGTCAGTTTTTATAGAGGTCATTGAAGTTAACGCATCTGTTCCCACTCAGACCTTTAAAGTGTCCTTTAGCACTTGTCTTTTGGCACAAAAAATATTTTACTTGTACTAACTTCTTCAACTACTGTGCAGTTTTGCGTGTGTCTTGATTATTTTCATTTTTTCGAGTTGGTGTGTTTTCGTTCTCACTGATTCAATTCTATGAAACGTAGAAAAAGCTAGAAAGCCTAATACTTATAAATGGGACCATGGACTAGTAATTTATCAGAGATAACTGAGTGAAACTTACTTCATCAAGGATAAATGAAAAACCATCAAATTCACTAAGTTGATCATTGCAAATTGATGAGAGCTGCTCTAATCATTATTTTCAGAGATAGTTATCCACAGAGACCCAGAAAAATGAAATTGAGATTTTTCAGAGTTTAGAAATTCCTCAGGTTTGAGAGAATGTATCTATAGAGTTTCAGTCAGTGCCAAAATTTTTTAAAAGAAAAAAAATCAAGTGGGTAACGCACAAAGAATTTATACTTCGTTGTTGCCAATCCACACTCTTAATTTCCTTTTTTTCTCCATCAGTACAATTTTGTCATGGGTATGAGAACAATGGAATGAGAATGACGCTTTTCGAGTATTATCCAGCTTGTCTATTTATTTAATGAATAATGGCGCAAACTGGACCTTAAGAGCTGTACCTATTTGTACAAAAGATACTCATTTTTGAACTCTAGAATAAAGCAACGTCAATATCCCGGGATTCCAAAACGAAATTGGCCAGACTGACATGCTAAGTTATCCATAAAATCAACTCAGATTTTGAAGTTGAAAGCTGAGCCCTGCAGCGGGCAAAATTTAGTTTTAGTGCCCAATTATCCAAATATCACAGAGTAATGAAGATATTAAAATAAAATTTCCATTTAATGCAATGAAATTGAAATTTTTTTTACTAAAAAACGGCATTTTTTTCCACCATTTGGTCGATAAACGCAGATAAACTATCAATCAGATAAGTTCAATGCAGCTCGATGGAAACTACTGATGACACAAACAATTTTTAACTGAGAAGCATGATTTATAGGGGTAGGTGAGTGTGAAGAGGGGAACATAATTTTCACTCCGCATTAAGAACACGGTCAGAGACTTCAAGGCTTTGGAAATTCATCAAGACTAGGTAGTTTAAAATGCATGGTATGAATGGTGCATTTCTGTGTGGAGCCCTAACTGATACGGTTGGGTTTAGATTTCATATTAGGAAAGTTGACAGCAACTAAGAAGCATGAAGACAGAGGCAGTGTAGTTTAATGAACTTCTTTTTCAATTTTGTAGTTTCTTGAAATAATTTTGGGGTGTCAAGATTCCAGATGAGTTTCATAGCGAGACTGAATTACTCAGATTGTTGAGTCAGATGATTGGTAAAATGACATTAATTAATGATTCTATCTACATTCCAAAAAAACCAAATATCATGTAGTAAATTTAACCAGTTGCCGTGGAACATGTCTTCCACTTTCCCAGCACCCATCTCTGCAAATCAGGTGTCATATTTTTGAGCTCATTGCAAGTTAAAACGAAAATTTGTAGGTGAAAGAAAACAACGCAAACCCCTAAAGAGACGAACTGCAAAAAAAACAAAAAAACAAAAAAAAACCGAATATCTTGGCAATTTTAGGGGTAAATTTCAAAGCTGCTATTCTTGACGAACACAAGAATGTGATATCACAATAATTTTGGACAACTTCCTGGCAAGTATCTAATTGCATCACATCTAGGAGGAAAAAAAATCGATTTTATAAAAGCTTGGAAACTGAGCCTGTGGTGATTTAAAGGAGAATGGACAATGTTGGTAACCCAGAAGAACTGCGATTAGCTTATCTGAGATTTTTCTCTGGTTTTAATAACGATAGAATTATTGAAACTAATTTTTACTTGAATATTTTATGAATTTTGTCACGGAACTATCCACTGATTCAGTCTCGATGATAAGATTTAAACTGCTAGGATTGCTATCATAAGATGACAAGGAACCATTGATGAATGATTCACAAGATCAATTAATTTCCAATGTGATTGTTCCAAATTAAGGGGTTTCACATTGTAAAACAAAATATATAGTGGAAAATAAGTGGCAATGCTGCTAACAAACACTTAATTATTAATGCACCGCGGATGTGAGTGAGGGCTTTAAACTTTTTTTTCTGTTGGTTTTTAGGCATGTATTCCATAAGGAGCCTATTAATTTTTGAGATAGTCTCTGTTTAATGTCTGTGGACATCAGGATATTTCAAGCCCGCGGCTTTTCGAATTTTCAGTGATTAGAGTTTACATGAATACCTTTCTTCACCTGAAAAATTTCTCTTCAAGGATGGTCATGAATTTTTTAAATCTAGGAACTTGTAGAATTTAACTGACGGATACTCAAAAAATTAGAGAGTTTGAAACTTGTTGCTAATTGTTGAATACATTTTTTAAAATTTGAGGATTCAAAACCCAACGCACAATCAATAATCATAACAGCAACAGAGCCAGTAGTGCCATCTCCTAGAGCCACCATTACATGGAACCTCGATTTTCTTACCTAATTTGAAACGCATGTGATCATAAAATTCACGAACCTAACAACCATCGAGGATAAGCAAAGGGGAAAAAATGTGATATTTGATCTATGTGGCAATTCCATCTAACTGCACAGTATTAATAAAAATCGAGATTTAAAGATAGACAGATACAGAATATGGAATCTGAAAACTGTAGTAATCAGCACAACTGGAACAATGACAAAAAGTATTGCAAAAGAAATAGAGAAAATACCAGAAGAGCACAATCTAGCATGTCATCAGAAAACAATAGAGCAATAAAAAGCCTACACAAACCGCACGGTTGTGCGTTGAAAGGATTGCCTTAGAAGTGTACTCTAGCAACCAAAAAGTCTTGAAAAAGCAATCGTCTTTAGAGTCAAGAGAATAAAAATGATAATAAAAAGAAGGAATGCACAAGGTCCTAGGTGGCTCCTGTAAATTTTAAAGGATGCGTTTTAGGGACTATGAGGCAGCAAAAACACAGTATCCACACATTAGAGTCAAGCTCTATTCATACAAAAGAAGAAAAACTTGAAGAATTCAGTGGTTTACTTTTAGGAGAAAATAATGACATTTTGCCATTCAACTTTGAATTTTTTTTGTCCTATTGCACTTTTTTAATGCCTGTGATCACACTCATGTTTCTTTTTAGACAGAACTTGAACTTTTTAGCATTTGTTTTTGCTGTAAGAGGTACATTTTCACGCTTTAAATTCTTGAAAAGTAGACGGACTTTACAGAAATTAATGTTAGAATACATCAGAAAGTCAGGTAATTTCCAGATCCAGATTTTTTGACTGTGCGTACTGGGAAACTGGCTGATCGAATACTTCAATTACTTATTTAAAGACTCTGAGATGATTTTTCTTCTTTATTTACTCAAGGGTCATTGCGAATAAAAGAATAATTCTCCATAGCAGCAGTTAACAATGTTCCATGTGGTGATAGCAATGACATGGAAACTTCAGTTCCAAATAAGAAAATAACCTAAAATTTGAGGGTCATCTCGAGAATAATCACTAAACATGATTTACTTATGAAGAAAATTAAATTGGTTTCATTTTTGTTTACAGAAAGAAAACTGTCATGTTCATGCAATGCCTTTAGCTTTATGGTGTCAGAAATGTTCAATGGCGTTGTGTAGAGCTTGCGCGACACAAGATAGTCATTTAAACCATCCAACTAAGTCTTTAAGTGAAGCCAAAGAGCAATTAATTACAGAGGTAAGTTTGGCCAAGTATCAAAGAGTACGACTGCCAGTAATATGCCATGCTAGTAATGATGGCATGTCCTCTTGCTTTTGTTGTATCCTCGACTCGAATCGGTACGGCAATCCCAAGACTTTTGTCAATTACCTATAAGAGAGGATTGGTTTTTTTCTTCATTTCAGTCTCCTACACAAAAAATTCACCTGCCGGTCTCTCTAGTTGGTGAGCCATATCTAATTTTGATTGGAAAATTTCGAATTCTTGTCGAATATAGGAATGTTGAGAATGCTATAAAAATTTCAAGACAGGTTTGTCTGACAATTATTTTACTTGTCCTTCTGAAAGTTTCAAAGTCTGAAAGTCTGAAAGTTTGATAAAAATGTTGAAAAACAAGAGCCAATACTCAATTTAATTTTATGTGCTGAGATAGGGGCCAAAGTTAAATCAGCTGTCCATGACAATGCACATATTTTAAAATGTATTTCTTCTTAACTGCTATGATGTCGCCACCAACCACGATTGATTAAAAAAAGAATGCACTCCTTCTGAGTGGAGCACCAGCTGGTAGAGTTTTATGAAACCTCTCATCGTCATCTTGAACAAAAGTCATGTTAGGTACTCGAAGATTCTATGATTTGTTCTCGAGATGTTTGCTACTGAATAGTAACAAAAATCAGATAAAACTTTGCTGGAGCTCAGTGTGAACCAGCCCTGAGCAAGGGGCTAAAACGTAAGAGTAGGGGTGAGTGAGCCAAAATGAATGATGATATAGTGAAAAACTATGTCAATTGTTCAAGTTATGTAAACCAAGGAAAATCCTCGTGAACAAGGAACGAATGGGTCGCTAGAGTGAAAAAATAAACTGATTATAAGTCACCCCGCTGGCAAGATGAATGACACGCTTCATGCAGTAAGTGAAGCTAACAGTAAGACAGAAAATTTCAACAGTTTTGCCTGAATTAATCCGTGTTCACACCAAACAGTACATGACCTCATTTTAGCTAATATATAGAGGAAACTATTTTGAATATAAAACTGGAATATCTGAGTGTCTGACGGAATTTCTAGATAATGAGGAAAATAGGAAAGATACGCATATGAATTCTACTGAGAGATGCTCCTGTGGAGCAGGTTAAGCAGGTTGCATTGCAAAATGCAATATGATGAGATAGTTTTGACAGCTCGCCAGTAGTAATTTTAGGACTAGTTCTAAAATATATGATGAAACATGGCAAATAAGAGATTCAAACTATAATGATCAAATTTCCTTGCGATCAAGTTTCCTTGAATCAGAGAAACTAACAGGGGGAGGCTCATAACAGCCGCTACCAATTTTGATGCGTTCGCAGTTAAAAATACTTTGAGAGTAGTTGATTGACTTGTGCTTTCAGTTTTTGCACCTAAACCTCCAAAACCCCCAAAACTTGTTTGAAAGTAGCCCCTGTTTATCATGTGTGGCATGAAGATAGAATTTACTTGCAGTGGCACATATGAAGCAGTGGTGCAATAGTACGGCTTTGGCCTTGCAGCAATGATGATGTGGGTTAGATTCTCAACTGTTCCCATCTAATTTGAATTATATTATCTTACTTTGATGAAAAATAATAACAAAGTATTAAATAAGTACACGATACAGAATCCTACCCAGAACATCTTCCTTGTAACTACGGAGAATGTAATACATGAGAAGGCATGTTCTAGGGAGGGTTCTTGTATTATTATATTTTTACTTAATACTTTTGTTATTTTATTTTAATCAAAGTAAAAAAAAGACAACTCGGGGTAAATGGGGAAAATAAAATTGAAATGGTTGGGTATTAAACGTACAATCTTCTAGCTGTAAAGCGAGAGGCGTACTCATTGCGCTACCACTTCAGATGTGGTGATGAGTGTAAATTCAATCTTCATACCTCTGATTAGGGGTTATTTTCCGACAATTTTTTGAGGAGTCTCAAAGGTCCATTTGCAAATACTGAAAAGCACCTGTCAATCAACAGCTTCTGAAACATTCATCTTATCATCATCATCATACATACATATAGATTGTTAAATAAAGATTTTCCCCTGAAGTTTTCTTATCTCTCAAAGACAGTTAAAGAATATGGCTGGCAGGGGTGCAGAAAATGCTCGAGTACGCGCCCTCGGGCGTATGAAAATGTGGAAGGGGGAAAATTTGGAGGGGCCAAAAGTCAAAAATCAAAGGAAAACGCCATCATTTTAAAGATTGGCGGGAAATTTTGTGGAAAACTGATGAGAAAAATGTGGAAAGCCGGCAGGGGCATAGAAGTGTGGAAGCTTGCACCCCTGATGGCTGCACCCCTGATGGCTAGACTAGCGTTTTGTAGTTCTTTTATATTTATTGTTGGCTCTTAATTCATTTCAGATACAGCAAGAATCGACAGGGATCGCAACATTGATAGGGGATGTTCAAAAACTGGAGCTGAAGCACCGACAGTACCTGTTGCGAGTTTTGGAGTCATGCGTAGCCTTGAAAAGTAATTTAGAGATGGACCTACATGACAGTTTGAAAACAACAGTTCCTGAGATCAATGAGGCTAAAGAGTTGATTAGTAATATTCGATCGAATATTATAAATACAGATGACATTGAAAATATTTCGAGGCTGTGTCAAGCGATACAGGTTGAAAAGCAAAAACTTCAAAGTAGGATAAAGGAGATGATGGTGGAGAGTCAGATAGATGATTATGTGAGCAACTCGGCCACTATTCTTGACTCGCAACAATTGAAGATGGTGTTGATGAAATTCTTGCCGAAACTGGACTTGAACAACGCTCTTTCACCAGCCTCAGCAAGCAATGATCCACTTCTATTCCTCAGTAATTTTTGTGTTTCACAACTATTGGTCCAAAGCATTCGTCAGAATCATCAAGATGTACGTGTCAAACCCATTGAGCGTATACAAACACCACCCCTCAATCTGCGCATGGACCTGATGGCATCTCCATTGCCTCACAATGGAATTGATTACATGCATACACCTCCACCCACGCTTAACCCTTTGTACATACAGCAAGATGTCAACGTGTTACCGGTTCACTCCCCCATCCAAATAATGACTCTTGTGCGACAACCTTCATCTGCTTATCCACTTTACTTTTTTAATATAAACATTGACGAAATACCATTTGGTCGGATTGTGATTGAGACGCGACCTGATGTCGCACCGAAGATGGCAAAAAATTTCAACATTCTAACTACGGGAGAGATGGGTGTTACATATAAAGGTTGCACCGTTTTCCAATGCTGGGAAAATGAGTCAATCATCACAGGAGACTTTGAGTTGAACAATGGTAAGGGTGGAAGGTCAATTTATGATGAGGGTTTCTTCCTTCCGGATGACACAAAGTTCCCTGCGGTTCGTGGCGCAGTCGGTATGAGAAGGTCACAAAAGAGGCATGATAGCTTGGGAATGGTCGGCTCGCAATTCCGAATCATTCTACAAGAGATGAGAGCTTTTACGGGTATTTTTGGTCATGTTGTCGAGGGTATTGAGTTAGTTGCCAAAATTGCAACGTTTGGTGATGCAGTAGGGAAACCCAGTAAAACTGTAATCATTACCAATTGCGGTAAACTTAACTGAGAAAATCAGTCTCACCTCTTTCACTATTCCCTATTTTCTATTTAGATGTTTGCCTATCGGTTATTTGATTGTGCTACACTCTGTAAATATTAATCGTATCGTGAATCAATTCGTATTTGTTATAGAAATTTTCTGTTGAAAAACATGAGTAATCATCTTGGATGAGAAAACCCTTGTAAAAATTCGAAGACTGAGACAAAATTAGATGATAAGAGACAGAAAGTTGAGAGAGGCTTCTCTTCCATGGTCCATGTATTTCATGGTTAGAAGCTGAATACCTCTCGCCAAGTTAGATGTGTAAGAGAAGCTCTCACGATCTTTGGGAGAATCTTCCATCTTTAATAACCGTTATTATTTAAATTGTATTATATTATTTTGATGTTGATATGAAAAGAAAGATTTTTTTCGTCCATCTTTCACTGATTGTTGAGTTTTCAGTCAGGGAGAAAGATTAATTTGATTCATTTTAGACAAGTTAGAGGTTAAAATTATCGGTATTGTAAACATTACTGGGGTATCATTGTTTTGTTTGTAAAATTTATTTTCGTCTTTGTTACAATTTATCTTCCAGCTTCTAAAGCTGTAAAAAGGAAGTTTCTTGATATTAATCAACTGATGCGGAAACACTTACAGTGTGACTGAGCATTAAACCTCTCTGCTTGAACAGATTTTACTCATCGTTTTCTTATATTTGCATTATTTACATACTCCCTCCTCATTTGAAGCGGAGAAACTCCTACTAACAGTTACTCCTGCAATCAATCCCTGTGTTTTTACAAAACCTTACTAAGCAAAAATTCTAATACTTTAAGATTTATTATTTCCAAAGAAAACTGTCTTATTATAAAAAAAAAAAAACTCAGCTACACAAAAAACTTATACCTCTCCCGTTTTCCTTATTTTTTTTCTCTCTCTCTTTCTCTAGTTGAAATTTCTTGCCCTTACAATTATTATTTTTTTTAATTTTTTATTTTATCATTCATTTGAGGAACAAAATGATTAATATCATTAGGGATACCTACAATTTAGTCACTTGAAACATTTGACCTCTTCATGGCCGTATAAATCTGCAGAATTCTTTTAGTTTGTTCTCATTAAGAATTAAGGAGTTGCGTAAGTAGATTCGTAAAAAATTTTAAAGCCTCATTTTTACTTCTATTTGATTGACAGTGACTGATGGTTTTAATTTTTTTGAGTTGAGGGGTTAATCCACTCTATGTATTACTGAGAACCGATTTTTTTACAGCACTATAGGATTTGCTTTTTTCTTTGGTGGAAAAACTAAATCAGCTCAAAAACATGTAGTTGAAACAACGATTGTCACAAAATCTTTGATGGATGAAAATTAAAAAAATCAGAAGTGGAACATATTATTCCATGTCTTTCGAAATTACCTGAGAGCTATAAAATTTTTATGGATCCTGATACACACTTTTAGAGATATGTAGATATATGATTCAATGACAAGTTAACCATTTTACCCTGATGAATGACAATTATTCTTTAATACCTACATACTAATCCTTTGTGTGTAAATTTAAGTATAAAAACGCTTAACTACTGCAAGATACCATCAGGATCAAGTTATTTATAATTATTTCTATCTTCTCTTTTAAACCGAAGGTTTTTTTGCATTCTTAAAGACAAAATATAAATTTAATTTGATTTTTCATAAGAAAAGGATTGCAGTGCGAGATTTTGATCGTACATTCTCATCTTGTTTCTACCAATATTCTTTAATTATTTAACGATTTTGAGCAAGAGAAAGATTCTGCATAGATCTATTATATTTTCATACCCTCATGTTACGTCAGTGAAATCGATCATAGTTCAATTTAATTTTTATATTCGTGATCGTATCGTATCGTATTGTATCGTATCAGAAAAGTAGAACTATTTTTTAAACTGAACATTTGTACTTCAAATTTATTTTTTTAAAACTGTCCAATGTAGTGAGAGGAATGCGCTTGTAAATAGTAAAATGTGACGTAAATGTCATGAATAATTTCCTCGTTTCTACCAACGATAAAATTTTTTGTTTTGCTTCGAACAGAAATTTGTTTGCTTTTTGTTTTAACAAGTTATTAGAAACGGCTATTTTTTCTTTCTTTTTTATGTCTATCAGTTATGTAGATAATAAATATTTTTGTTAGTTGTTACAAGATCGACGTATGTAATGCTATAAGAATGTGTGAAACTTTTCACCTTTCCTCTTTCTCTGCAAGTCAAATAAACTGAAGAGGAAAGACGAAAATGTTGAAACAGAAATCTGACCACCTACTAAAGAAAAAAAGAATAAAGTTGAAATAGATTAGGCATGAAATAAATCAAAAGAAATAGAGAAAGAATCAGTTCTCATTTTAAAAAAATTAAGCGGTGTGCGTTTCTAAATAAAGAAAAGTTAATTTTATGTCGATTAATAATTTAATTGATTAGTTAGAAAAAAAGTATCTTCTTTAAGTAAATATTCTCCAAAATCCTTTCAACTGACAATGGACCATCCTAATTTCAATTTTACCAACACACCATCTCAAGAGTCCTTTTTTAGAGGGATAAAAATCTAGAGCAAATTTTGTGTTAGACAGAGAAAAAAGAGGAAAGTGTTTGATAAGAGGTGATGGGTCGTTTTGAGAGAAAAAAGATGGGGTCATTTGGAAGAAAGGAGACGGGTTAGTTTTGGGAGAGATTTATTTGAGAGGGACCATGAGAGGAATTTGAATTCTTTTTTTATGATGGAAATTGATGTGCAATAGAGCACACGGAACTTCAATGGTGTAACTCTTAATTTAAAAACATCATCCCTCACATTTAAGTTCATAAGTAGTAGCTCTTTTCTGCAACAAAATTAGACACTAATCATACATACTTGGCTCTTCGTCTTCAGCAAAATTTCATTTCATAGAAAAGTTTTAAATGCGAAAATAATTAATCACTAAACAGCTGGCAGAATATACCTAATTTCAAGTTGAAAAAATTTAAAACAAATCACCAGACTGCAAATTTTAATGAGATAATTTGCTGTTTTTTGTATTTCTAAGATGGCCATAGTGATTTTTTGTATTCACAGTTCAATAGATATGGGAAAGATTACTAATGTTTAATGGCTCGTGGTTTACGATCAAGAAAATTATAAAATTTCTGATTCAAAGAAGCCTTTATAGTTGGTTGTTCAAAATCAATGTAAGAGCTTGTCTTCTATTACGAACAAAGGCAGTTAGACGCACAAGTTGTTGTTCAGGTGGACATGGTTTGTTAGCCATTTTACAATATCCACTGTTAAGCATGCGTTAAAAATGTTATCGAACAGTATCTAACGCACAATGGCTGATTGTTGACTACTGTCTAAATTTACTTATTTTCAAAGTTATTTGTAAATTCTGATAGAGATAAACGTTTTGAAAAGAGTAAAAGTAAAGTTCACCCTTGTTTTTCAAGAATGGTCACCTGCTATAACAATTAAATTAAGAGATGTAAGAAAATTATGATTTCACCTAAACATAATTATGTTTAATGCTTCTTTATTTAAATGATTTGCAACTACTACTGAAAGGTCTTTCATGAGCAAGGGCTTGAAATTTAAATTCTGACCTGAAAGCGCTGAGGTTAGAAATTGTGAGTATTTTGGGAGCATCTTTGGAAGTAAATACCTCTAAGTCACAAAAATATTGAGTTCAGGCGAGAAAGGTAGTTCACATACAAATAGTTTTTTGGTGTGTGTGTTATCAAAGATTTCTTTTTTGAAAAGTAAAGGACTTTGGTTGACAAAATGACCTAAAGATACCGAATGTCAAATTTGTATTTAGAAATTCTCATGTTATCCTTTTAAAATTTATACAGGAAAAAGCAAGAAGTAGTTGCAAAAGTTCTGAGGTACATAGTGATTATTCAAGTTTGATTTAGGCAATGAGGGTATATTATAAGAGTAAAAGACAAATTTTTTGAATTCAGTAAAAAGAATACAAACTGAGGACGAAGAGCTCTTTTAATCATAACCATTTTTGAAAAAAGAGACCTTTAAAAAAAAAAAAAAATTCAGTGAGGTAATCTACTTTGTCCAAAATGATCACAATACCTCTATAGGGGAAAAGTGAATTTTGTTATGAAGGATTGGATACTTGTAGAATTTTCTCTAAAGGAAGAAGCATTAGACCACTAATTAATTTTATATATTATTATATTATATCTGTTATGAGGGAATAACTTCAAGACAAACTGTTAGACAAATGAAAGTCTTCTTTGATCCAATCCTAACCACTAAGAGTCATTTCTAGAAAACTAAGTCTCAGATTTCATACTTAAAAAATTATCTTTGATAGGAGCCTCTAGCAGACTTTGAATTATCACATAATTTGGTTTAGTGAGCACCCCTTTTGAAATAATAACATTAACGCACTATTCGCGACATCTATCAGAGAGAGAATTAGCGCAAGAAAAAATAAGTGCTAAAAGACTTCCTCCTACGCAACAAAATGTAATTTTTATTCTTATAAAGTTCCACTTACTCCTCTCGCCTAACAGATTTAACAAAATAAAATTTTGAGCATTTATCCATTTGAAAAAAATATATCTATAAAATTTGATCTCACATGTTATATTTTTTATGTGTAATTGTTACGAATAAAAAAACACTGTCTTTCAAAACATACCTACACTTGGAACCTGTAAACTGTTAACTGTCGATTTGGTCAAGGTAATCATTTGCGTTTCCTTAGGCCTTAAAAGTGCATATGCATTTATGAAGAAGAACTTATCATGTGATGTATTGCAAGAGCCTCAATTAAAATGAATGACCGACTACTACATTTAACTCAATCAATGGCAATTGTTATACTTCTAAGGGGCGCAAGAAATCGAATTTTTGTACATTAGAATTAGAAGAATTAAAGAGGAAAAGCCGATATCTTTTTCTCCTGTAATTACCGGGTAAATGTCGCATCAACAGAACTCTGTTGAGCACTATCGTCAATGGAAAATTAAATAAATCTATGTCTCGTTTCGTACTGTTTCGCTGTAAATTTAACTCTGGATAGTTCCCTCGTTTATTTTGAAAATAAAAGTATTGTACGCGATGGTCTTGGTTTTATTTTGTGATTCAATCTCTTTATCTGGTGCTTAGGGTGGCTAATGGGTCAATTGCGCTTGTCACAGCATCGTGTTTTGATGCTTAATTCTTAAAGATAAGCTAAAAATATGAAGATTTTTCCAAACAGCAACTTTTTACAGTCGATATTAACAGGGATATTTTGCTTTGAAAAACTCAGTCTTTGATGTCATCCACTGCGATAATGACACCCATGGTTTTTTCCTCCTTGGTTTTATCCGTGTTTTAAGTCCAGTAACCAGTGTATACTGAATGAATCCAAAGAGGAAGAAATTAAGGGTGTCACTACCGCGGTGGATGAAGTCAAAAACCCGAGTTTTTCGAAGCGCAAAGTCTCTGTTAATATTGAATATCAAAAGTTGCTGTTTGGACAGATAGGTCTTAATAGTTTTAGCTAGTCCACAAGAATAAACCATCTAAACGTAAATTCTGTGACCAGCACATCAGACCCACTGAAATGCTTGGGAAATTTCAAAAGTCTCAATGATTTCTTCACATTTTTTTACAGAAACATACTGCATGGTAACCATCAAGTTTTCCGATGAAGTCTTTAAACACTTTTGGAGACTTAGCGATTGGTTTTCTTTCTTCCTCTATGAACAGAGTAATATTAATGTAAGGGGAGTGTTATAATGCAGGAAGTGTCTCAGAAAAAGATTCCTGAATCGCACAGCGATTTTTGGTGCGAAACCGAGAATCAAAACTGGTCAAGTAAAACTAGAGACAAATGAGAGAGCAAAGATAAATGAAGTGCAGGAAAATGTGGAGAGAAGGAACAGTTTTCAGACTGTCTCTTGGAGTCGGGAAAACACACTGTGTCTAATTTGTCATGATTGGAGCCAAAATCCAGCTAACCCAATGCAATACTGCGATTTTTGGAGGCGCTTTGACATGCCTGCCCAAGCAAACAATTCCAATAAGCCAAAAAGTGAGGATACTTATTATGCCTTGCATACTTTCTCATTCTTTTTATAATCCTAGGAAAACATCAATTACATTAGCATTTTCCTGAGGATGTGTGCTTTGTGGTAATGATGAGAATTTTTCAAAATATTTTGTTTTACATTATTTTCATTCTATACGCAGGCTCTTGTTATTAGTAGGGGGCGGAGGGACGGACATCATATCCGGACTTCATGAAGTAATGAGAAATGATGAAAAATGCTGTTTTAAGGTCTGCGACAGTAACATCATGTCTTAAGATTTTCTTTAAGAGCTTTGTACGTGGTTCTACGTTGACATAAATAGGTTTCTTAATGCTCCTGATGATCTTCAATATTCAGCAACAAAAACATAATGATAGCTATTGTATTTTCAAGAAAAACACGGTTGATTTCACCTCTGGGCAGCAAAAAAAAATTAAAATTTGAAAAGCTGAAAGTAGGAATAATAGAGGAATAAGCCAGAAAGAACTGAAACATGAGGATTCAAACTGCAAAACTTGCTACAGTGGGCTCGGTTGAGAAATGCTTCACCCGGAAGCTAGTTTTTAAAGTTCATCACAAACATTTCCTATATGTATGAGTAATTTTTCACAGAAAATTCGTACAGTTTTTGCATTTCTGTACCGATCCTTCGAAATCCGTGCTTTTTCAGAAACTCTTTACTAATTCTGTTCAATAGACACCCTGGTCTGTGAAATGAAATTTTTCCGTATCAAACACTGATCAAAAATAAGGTGACAGGGACAGAAGTGTCGTCCTTGCAACATAATTGCAACAGAGTTTAAGGGGGAGAAATATAAGAGGAAGACACATTAATGACCAATGAAACCAAATGACCAAATGTTCATTGATAAACCGTATGAAAATCCAACTAACAATCACCCTCCGATTCGACCACGAGGAACACCTTAAAAAATTAGAATAATTCATCTCCATCTAAGTAAAAGTGAAAAAGTCCACAAACAAATCTTCCGCAAAAAAAAGAGAAAAAACCTTCAAATAAAAGAAAAATGTCATGTTTTTTTAAGTTAAATTTTCTCCTTCAGAAATCAAAGATGCAACAAAAACAGCTAGAGGGTTTGTTGGAGTACATTTGAGGAGTGTATGCGATCCCCCTCATAGACCAAATAAGAATTTGTGCAGAGTATGAAAACTTTCTTTTGAACTCTCAGGGACACGACAGGCCCATTTTCAACACCAAAACAAAAAACAAAGCTAAACACCTACAAATCTCAGTCCAGGCTTGATCAGAACTTTAATATCACTAGAGATAAATGAAGAGATTAAGCACCTGGATAAACAATAAGATTTAAAAAGAAACAAAGAAAGATTGAGGAAACAAAGAAAGGGTGTCTACAGACTTTGCAGGAAAAATACCCCTGACTTTTTCAGGGTTTCACCTCACCAAAATGATCTAAATTCCCTAATTTTTCATAACACCAATGTGGACCCGTAGTGAATAAAAAATTTTTGACAAAAGTTTCACTGCAAATGACAGAGAAGAAGTGTGAACTTTTTTTCAGGTATTTAACATTCAATTGACTAAAATGGCTACTTCTCCTTAAAATTGTTCCTCTATTCCTATTCACAGTATGTATTACTCATGGCATTTAACCCCCCACCAGACCGAGACTCAGCTTGATTGTGTGGACATCGAAGATTTCTTTTCGTAGTTCAAGTTTCAAGATTTTTCAACTTTCCAGTTTTTATTGGAAAGTTCCCTAATTTCCATGACTGTAAGAAATGCCCTATTAAAATAATTTTCCAGGTATTCAAGAACTGTAGACACCCTGTAAGATTCTGAATTTCTTACCTTGTAGTAGACATCTGGAACATACTGCTCATTAGAAGATTCTCGAATAAAGCCCAGTTCTGGAGCATCCTTGGTTGGAACAAGACAATTGTGCCGCACTAGAGCTGTGCACTGATTTGAAACACCATACCCTTCCATAAAAACTTGGTTATTTGAATCACCTGTAGCAAAAAACACATAAAATTTACAAAATGTTCACTATTTTCTCATCATTCTAAGCTATCTAACAAGCACATTGCTTCAATGACGAATCTTGTATTGTTCATTGTTCCTATCAAATTGGCTGATTTGACTGTCTTTGATAGGTTCTGCAGAGACAACATTTATGTCATTTGAACAACAAGACCTCTCAATTGAATCGGTGAAAATGAATATACACCAACTCAAAAAAATGAAAATGTTCAAGAGATACAAAAAACTGCACAGTAGGTGAAGAAATTGCGAAATTTAAGAAACAGCTTTTTAGTGCCAAAGGACTATTACTTTGGGATACTTTAAAGGCCCAAGTTGATGCAGATGCCCCATCTTCAATGGCTATTATGAAAATTGGGCATCTTCAATGGAAAATGGACATTTTTAAATTTCCGAATCGGTACGATTTCATTCTCACAGATTCAATTAATACCTCCACTAAATCTTTGTAGAGAACGCAATCGCATGAGTTCAGCTCACAGGAGAAGACCAAGTATGCTTCATAAGAATGTGTCTACTATTGTGACTCCTATTCTTTTATGCAAACACATGCATGTATATTACCTACAATTCTAAAGAAAGTCTCTTTATTACATGGCTAAGTATGCAATAAACACCAAATACTTTGGTAAGAAACATGCTAATATTAAATATAAGGATATCCCAAAAAGTGTATGCCCCCTTGTAGCCTCGCCTAGAGGGGCCCTCAGTGGAGAATCACTGTATGCTCCACTATCTGAGGGAGGCCCTCCTTAAGGCTGCTTAGGGTCTCTTAAGGCTACACTCTACTAGCTGAGGGAAGCCTCTTTTCCACCTTACTACAGCTCTTTCCCAGTGGTTGGAGGGTCCCCTTTCTATTACCTATTAAAGCTACGCCCCACAGGCAGAGGAACTCTTTGTTGGGTCTTAACATCACCCACGTGTACCTCCAATGCCAACAACATCAATCCAACCTTATAAACCATAGAGCATAGATGCATAGAGCAACAGAAGAAAACGAGAAAAATCAAGATAAATCTAGATAAACTGGGGTACACCTCTTTAAAACATGATAAACCAAAAGAGATCTGGATGAATTCCGATAAGACAAAACAGACTGGAAGAAATTGGGAAAAAACTAATCACCCACTGATTTGACCAGGGCACTGTAAAAGCAAGCTAAATTAAAAAAAAAAAAATCTGGTTGATTTTAATTTGCTGAGCCGCAGATGTACTCGAATCTGACCCAGGACTTTAATTATTATGGTAAGAAAAATTTTTTGTGAATGAAAACTTACCAGTAACGCAAACTGTGACAAACTTAGATCCGAAATAGCCACTAGGTGAGAATCTGCAGGGATTTGGATGCAAGTTCTGAAAATGACCTGCCATTATGCATTCTTGAGCAGTTAAAAAATGGCTATCTATATTACGAACATGTTTAACCTGTAAAAGAGAGCAAAAGAATGAAAAATCAATGAAAAAACAAACATAGAATGATTGCAGGAAGGTTAGAAATTGAGAAATGAAAAAAAGCTGAAACAATAAAAAACCTGAAAAAATGGTGTGAAATAATAATCCTGAGATAAGATACATCAACATTTGACACACTATTAGTATTGTTCTGATGGAGCCGCAGTAGTATACCCAATCTTGGCAGTGTTTTCATGACCTTTCTCAGCTCAGAAACAGAAAATCGGGAAGCTAAGGTTGAGACAAGTTGAGACAAGTAAGTCCCACACGCATAAGTCAGATTGGTCCAAAATAGTGTTGAACCAAATAGTATAACGAATAGGAATAGTAACCACCAATAAATCACCATCTTTTTGAGAAACTCATGGAAAAAACACAGTTTTTGTGATTAAGACTGAAAATACTGAGAACCCAATAATTAGATTAATGAATGGATATGTTCATTAAAGAGATTAAGTGATTAAGTGATCAATCTTCAAACCGGGGCAAAAATCTTTCCAAAATGATTCCAATTTGTATCCTGTGAACTCTTCCCGTTTGACTACAAATGACTCTGGAAATATTCAGCTTGATCAGAACATTTAAAAATATATCTCTTTAAGGGGTGTTCGATCACTCACCCAAAATGATTGTAAAAACGAGGAGCAGTTGAAAATGTTTGCAAAAAATTGCGCGAATAAAAGAATGAATGAAAAAATGCACCGGGTAGATAATGCCAACAACACAGCCGTAATAGTTTTTAGGGTAGACTCCATGCAATGTAATTGGAGTCACTACTGGAATAACAATCTACAGCTGAAATTATTCTCCAGGTTAGTTTACCTTGTTGCTGTGCATTACTAAAAATAAAGGACACTGTCACGAAACAAAGGGCCTTGATGTTGCCGTGGTTCCAGATTCATGCAAATGAAACATCATCTAACCAATAGATTTTGCAGCTTTTATAAATGATCGAATTTCAAAATTTCCAAAGATCTTACTGATCACCGCAATCAATACACATCATGAAATCACCACCTTAATATGTCTTTGTATGATAACTTTGCAATGCTTTGATTTAAGATGGCCTTTTCCCTGGAGACATCTAAGTAATGTTAAAATCAGCATTGGCAGGAACTTTGACTCAGTTCGATAAAACCGCCGATCCTGAGCGCATGCAACAGATTGGGATTACACTGTATTCAATTGCAATTAAGTCAAGGAGACGTCCTTTAACAGGAAAACTTGATGAAAACATCTTTGACTAGGTATACTCACAGTTCCTTTTTGTAAATCATCTGCCAGCAGATCAGTAAAAATCCAACCAACTTTTCGCAAACCTAATTGCTTTGCTAACTCATCAACCAAAGGCTCTTTCTCATCTGGACATAGGACAACTTTATCTCTGGTGCTTTCCTGTAAAGTACAAGTTTGAAAATCATTAGTGACCAAAAATGATTGGATAGAGTCTGTGCTTACGTCCTTTACAAACTGTTACACATTTTTATTCCCAATGCATAGAAAAAATTGAAAGAATAATAAAATTCTGGCAATTTTCAGCTTCCTACATAAGTTTCTAGAAAACCAGGTTTTTAAAGATTTTTCATTCAAAACCTGCTCCTCCAAAATCTAATGTTGGAAATTTTTCATTACATTTCCCGCACATTTTATGCTAAAGAACTATCTCTCCTTACTGCTGAATGGCTAAACACACACAGGGCAAAGCCTGATCGTCGCTGAGGGAGACTTAAAGTGAGTGCTTAACACAGCTGAGAGTTGTTTTTCTTAATCATGATCGTCCACCCAAAAAGAAACCTTGGTTTAAAAAAAAAAAAAAACAACTCAATACTGAATTGTTGATACTCAGAGCACAGCAAAATAATTTACAAATGAAAGTTTTCAGACAAAAACTGATCAAAAATTTGTTGTCACAGCAGTGAGGTTGGTTCAAATGATATATTCTATTTGAGCTGTGTATGTTTTCAGCTTTATTTACAGGCTTAATATATACGATGATGTGTATTATGATTTTGTATTTAAGTTTTTACAAATAGACGTGGAAGCATCATTGGAAATTCTACTTCACAAAAATGAGCAAAGCGAGCTGAACATTGGGTATCACTAATATTCATTGAAAAGAAAGACAACTTAATTCTTATTTTAAAATTTTCTGACTAGTTTTCCTGAAGGTAGAACTGTTACATTTTGTCAGGCTACTTTTTAAGAGACAGTACACTATTTAGCAGAGCCAGGCTCTGCCACACAAACCTGAGGAGGCTCGTAGATCACAGCAACAGTAGCTCTGATGCCTAAGGGAACATCTGTGTGTACTTCGTAATGACCATATAAAAAGCCAATTCGTTGATGTCCTGTTGTCCGCCAATAATTTAAAAACCGCTCGACTAAATGAGGATTCTCAAACTGAACATTGTCTACGTGCCTATATGCCTGAAAAGTAGAAATCGATTCAAATTAGAAAAAACCTTAAAATGAATGGTAAAGCAGAGAATAAGCGGAAAATTTGACTATTACAGCTATGTTAGAGGTTTTAATTCACTTAAATATGCATTCACCCATGATGAGGTTCAATAATCCGTATCTTAAGAAAATTTACTGTGTTATTATTTGTTGACTGCATTACAAAATCAGTAGCACCAATCCTTGAAACTGCTTTTCACACAGCAATTTAAGTGATACTTATGAACTGAAAATTCCGCTTCTCTTCTATTTATTTGAAATAAAGTAATTTATGGCTGAAAGGAGCCAAATTCTAAGACCTTTTAACAAATAATTTTTGGAATTTTCAAAGTTTTTTACGGATTTAGGAATAGACAAGAACAGAAAATTGAGACTTCACTTTTACTTGTACAGGGTAAAGCGAATTCATTAAAATGCTCAATACCACAAAGATTTTCAGTTGCCCTGCCAAAGTGTCATTCTTGCGAAAAAACTTTTAAATTTATCGACGTTTAAAGACCCTGATCCAAGCTTGCTTAGTGGATCTGCTGCACACAAAACATAGTTCCAACTATGGACAAGCTCTGTAGGTTCTATTGCAATAAGTACAATATTCTGTTGGGCACATAAGAAACATCTAAAATAAACTAAAAAAAACGTACAACTTGGGGAAAATGTCATGGCTCACAGATTTTCAAATTTACCACATCTGCAGGCACTTCATTCTTAGCCACCAGCAATCAGGTAGGCCAACAAAAAATGTTAGACAGCCTGACCTAATATTGAGGTTATGTGGGAGTTCAAGGGAATTCAAAATTACTTCCTAATTGAAGATTTGTCATATTGCAAATTCGGTGTAAAGGGCTCAACTGCACAACGCCAATATTTTATACCTTTTGTTTTAGCTCGATTTCAAAATTAAGGAGAAAAAAATTCTGTAAGGGTCTGTACATTAATTACGTATCGTTCTAGGGCGTGGAGAGAATTTCATAATTTTGTGTCGTAGCGAGACAAGGGATGGGAGGATGTCACGCTCAGCGTTGCGTAACAGTATGTTCATACTGCATTTTAACTTTTTTCTCCTTTTTTCTGTTAAAGTTTCACAGACTAGTTTCTTTGTATTATTATTTCTTGTTTCTTGAAATATAAAGCCTTTTAATTAACAGAGGTTACGTTCTCCTTCCGTTTTCAGAGAGAAAATTAAATGGAAAAATTAAAAGTCTATCGTAGACACTTCTAACAAGTTCAGCATAATTTTCATGAGATATTGCTTACAAAAAGTGCATTCAGTTCATTTGACTGTATCTGTTATAAATGTCAGCTTTATTGGAAACTTACTTCCTGGCCATGATGAATACTCTCTGAACATTGCCATCAACTGTAGAAGTCACTGAAGAATTTGTATCGTAGACATTTTTTGTTACTGAATGCGTTATTACAATGACCAGAGTATTGTTCCTTCAACAGAGTGCCAATACGCAGGCACTATGCATTCCTGTTTGACTTTCAGACTTCATGAAAGTTAGATTTGAGAAGTTGAGAAAAATACATGAAAAATGAAATTACCTGTCTGTTCAATGTCACAGCACTTGGTTGACATTTAGAGCATATTCCACGAGGCCATGGTGGATGTCCTTTGCAGCCAGGTTTTATACGACAATTAACCTCCTCCAGACAAGCAAATTTCCCTCTGAAAACAAAGTTATACATTGAATTTTGTTTAGTTTGACAACTTGAAGCGCCTCCAACGCGGCAGACAATGATACCTAAATGATTCCAGTTTGCATACATATGAAGTTTATACAGCTGTATTTTAAATCCATCTTGATAGCTTTATGGCTGAATTGTGCCTGCAGGATCAATTACTTTTGGATATTTTGCGACCACATGCTTTTTTAATCTTCACAAATTTAAGGAAAGTTTTGTTCAGTCAGTCTGTCAAAGAGAGGAGAATTTTCTGTTAGACGCCTCTATATTTTGTGACCAATTTTAGTGCAACAATCAAACACTAATACAAGATTATTCTTCGTTTGTACACTCCAACAGTTGAAGAAAAGAAGTTCACAAATGGACAAAAGACGGCCGAATTGAACTATTCTTGTGAACGACAAAACAACTTTAACAATGTTGAGGCAGCTTCTACAGAAAGCCAAAGATGGAAATGTTACGGTTTTGCAAGTCTTCAGTAAATTCTTGAATATGTTTGTCTTCATGAGTGCGTCTGTACAGCAAGATATTTTGGAATTCTATTTTGATACCCTGGATCGAGTAATCCAGTTCAAAATCAACCACCTTTTCTTGTTGACTTGGCAACTTCAAAATTTGTTTTTGGTGAAGGATCCTCATACAATTAAGTTTGCCCTATGTTTATGTAAAACAGGTTGCATAACTTGGAACTTGTATTGTTCAGACATTGACAGTGGTTGTATTAGCTGGAATTTAGAGCAAACTGGAGACCTGAGATTTGTTTCAGAGCAGCTAGAATTGCACATTCTAAGATTTTCCAATGGAGATTTTTGAAATTTTGACTGGCAGTAATATTACAATTCTTATTTTTATATTTCCCTCTAATAAATTAATTTCTTTCCTTTTTTTATCTTTTTAATTCATTAAAAAATCTCCCTCTGACAAGTTGTCGAGAATGAAATTTTAGTTATTTTAAGAAAACTGGAGGTCCGTAGCTTAATTAGAGCTTGACGTACAATGGCCCTTACAATTTGGAAAAAAAAAATAAATAAAATAGAGACCATCTTTTCAGTCGGACCTGATGTTAATAGAAAATCAAACTATGTTATAGCATACTGCACTAATAAGAAAGTAAGTCATCTAACTATATAATCGGTTTTCAAAAAAGTTTAATTTAAACAAAAAATTAGAGAAAATCTAACCTCTTCTAGGTATGTGAAGTCTTAACTGAAGGAAATTCTTTTGGGGCTTCTGAGCAAGAGAAAAAAATTGAAAAAATATCATCTTTTCCTTCAAGAACTCTGTTAAATTATCAGACAAAGAGCCAAAAAATTTTAAAAAAACTGAAACTTTTTACTTAATCTCAACTCCAGTACCCCCTCATGAACTCAAACTAACTTTTAAAACTAAATTGATACATTCTTGAAACTAATTCCATCAATGAAGACTTGGCATAATTTTAAATTACTCACCGATCAACACCAGCAGTTAATTTCCTCAAGTAAGCATGGAAAGACATGTGTTTAACCTGCTGTTCTGCTAAGTACGATTCGTCAAAAGGTTCCAAAGGCGAACAATGAACGCAGCAAGCGTTACTTCCATGATGACAACTAGAAAAAAACAATAAAACATTTTATACTAATGGAAGAAACTGCTGATTAATGATGTATTTGAAATGTTTGGACACTTTTTCGGGTTGCATGGTGGCAGGTTACTCACTTTATTTTTCAACAGCATCATCGGGACCAAGAAAAATAAAGTGAGCAACCTACTAAAGAGCATTGCTCTGTTTTCTATTGCCCTCAGGTGTAAGGGTGTGCTTTTCACTTGATTCTGTTTGTGTTCAACCATTTTGAGTTAATCCAGCTTATGGTGTCAAAGTGGAATAGTTCTTTTCTTCCTAAATACTTGCTTGTTATAACTGCCAGATCTAATAAAGAAAGACTTTCAAGTAATTCTTGGTTCAGTCTGAAGTTCTTAACTGAAAACATCAGCCAAAACTCAACCTGATAATAGGAGATGCGCTCCCAAAGCTAGTACCTCTCTGCTGGAGTGGGCATATTCGCAGGCAAGTGTGTGCCAACACGAAGAGTTAATTTTACCCTGATGTTCGGTTCTCAGGGATCACACTTCTAATTTTATTTTCAATTTTCACAAGTCTGCAATTCGCCATTGAATTTAGAATAAACCTGATGATGGACTGGACAAGTTTTGAAATTATCATGGTCAACTGAAATCTGAATGAATTAATCAGGACTAAATACAAAAAATTAGGTATTAACTACAAGTTTTTAATAACTTAAGAAGTCAATTATGAGCTATTTCTTTGCTGACATCAACAAAATTGGAGTAAAAATCATCATGCATAATCTCCTTCGTTTTCCTCGAATCAAAAAATCACATCATGCTCCTGACAAAATTTACAAATGGCTCCTCATTACAAATTAGATTTCTCTAAAGAGAATCAAGACCGAAGTTAACTTTGGGCGTATTTTTCAATTGTTTTGTGTTGCCAAAAAATTTCTATGAATCAATAACAAACAAACAAATGGGTCTGTTGCATATGAGAGGCACAGCCAAGTGAATACCCCTTCTGCAGGTAAAATCACTCGAAAATCTCGTTGAAAGCGTCAAAAACATCTGAAATCCTTTCCTAAAATTTTGAAGACTTTTAAGATGTTCCCAACGTAATTTTCCGGCGATTTTTTCCTTAGAAAATCTGTTTACTTGGCTGCATCTCTAGCATGCAACACTCATTTGGATTTGAGAGGCAACATGAGTCGTGACCTAATAAATTATACCAAATGAACTGCATTCTAAATGTTCTCAAATGAATGAATGAATGAATGAAGAAACACTTACAACTTTTCATCCCGCTTTCGCTTTACTTTGCCGTCCATTTTCCATAACTGCAAATCTACATCGTCTTCTACTACACCATTGGTGTTTCGAACCAACATGGAGGCTGATAAGCTTGCTCCAACATTACCTAAGTTTTCACCTGAAAAATAATATTATGAATTCCTTTTATTCAATAAAATTTTTAAAAAAAACTCACTTGCGTGTAAAATACTTATTTGCGGACACGTTTTGCCGGCTCGCAACTTTGGCATCGTTAAGGAACTTCAGTAATTTTGCCTTAATTTAACTTCATTCTTACTATACTTCAGCAATGCATGACCAGATATTTGCTAAAATTCAGAGATGAATTTCTTACAAACGGCACTATATGTAGAATCTCAGTGCGTTCAACAGGATTTTAATTTAGAATGATACGAAGAGAAACCACAATCATGTTCCATCTTTGATAAAAAAAAATAGAGTTCCATGGGGCAAAAGTACAGTTCCAACAAGTAGTTGGTCAGTATTTCTTATTAATGTATCATTTTTTTTTCACTGTATGAAAAAATGTAGAATACAGACTTGCTTTCTGAGAGATTTTTTAACCATCATTAATGAAAAGTACAAGCACAAAAATTAAATCAATGTGCTGAGGGGTGTAACATAGAGAGTCACATACCTGAAGAAGAATTTTTTACATGATTTGTGCCAGAGGTGCTTGGCAGGCTCGGATCGGGACAGCTCCACAGATTGCCACTATTCAGAGCTGACAAGAATACGGTGTCCCCATGATTCAGACCCAACTCACTTACACAGTGACTTCTTGAAGATGTTATCTCTTCTTTCCTTGTTTTGTCTTTGTGCAAAGTAAAGGAATAGTTCGGCAATCCAAACCCTTCTTGAACCTAAAAAGCAAGAGCCAGTTATAAATATAATTGTTCCACTATTATTCTACATTGAGGTTACATAGGATTAAACCTTTTATTAAGGAAAAAAGGGATAGCTAAAGGTAGGCAGCGCAATAAAGCTCTTGTATAACTCAAGGACTTTTAATTTAAGTAATATTTCGTAGGTAAATCTTCGCGAAAAACACTATGATGTTACCCATTTTCACTGCAACAAATTTTCAAGCTCAAATTAGCACCGAAAGTTGAGATCTTGATAGAGAGAATTGCCAACCTTACACTGAGGGTTCACCTCTACATCCAGTTAATCTCGACATGCATAAATAGGGAGCAAATACATTGCAGGGTTGCCACTGCAAGGATTCCATAGTTGCAGCCAAGACAACCCTGTTAATGTATCCTCCCCATTTATGCATGGAGAGTTCAACAGGATATAGAGATGAGCTTCATCGCAGCCTCAATTTTGGGAACTTTTTTTTAACTAACAAGTTTGTTTAAAAATTCATTGCCACCATTATCTTTCACATAAAATTTAATGAGAAAAAGTACTTAAACTGCAAATCCCTTTCGGACGCAAAAACTTCAGTGGACAAGAGGGTAGTTTTCGCACCATTCAGAAACGGGTGCTTTAAAGTTCTCCTGTGCTTGAGTGCTACCCTGACAGTTTTTTTATGCAGGCAACCCTTGAATTTTTTTAACATGAGGGGGGAGGATTTTCTTGAAAGAAGAGTCTCATGATGGGGCGAGGGGGTGTGAAGGTGAAAAGGGCATTACTGGTCTCAACAGCTGATTTTGACACAGTAAAAATACACGTGCTGACTTATTGACAAGAGGTCTTAGTCTTGATGTTAAGTTCAAAAATTGATTATTAGTCATCCACTTCCCTCTCTTTGAAGAAAACTTACAATTAGTTTAGTAGTAGATTCAATTTTTGAGAGATGCAGGTATAGTTTTTGAGTTCTTAGGAGAGATGTCTGAGATTTCCTGATACCTACATTTGAAAAGTTTGGAAAACAAGGTGCACAAGTGCAGTTTCAGAAATTCGAGACTAGAAATTAGAGCCCAGCCGTCTCAGCTGCGTGTTGTAGCTTGTTATGCTTGTAAGTAAACAGGTGAGGTACAAGAAAATGACTGGACCTCACTAAAAGCATATTAGATAAAAACAGGAAGGAGAGGCAAAGAGGAAACATAAATCCGGACCATTTTGTGTTTTTTAGTGTTGAAAAAGGCTGAAAATTTCAGGAGATGTTCATGAAGGTGTGAGACAAACACTTGTAAATTTTGAAGGTATTCAGAGCACTCTAAAGGTCCGAGAAAAGCCCAGAACTTCAAACTCGTTTTTTTTTTTTTTTTAAATAATAAAAACCACACTTATGCGCCTTGTCTTCCTAGCGCCTCATTTGGACAGATTTACCCAAAATCAGCCTAACTACATCAGACGTCACCTTAATGCCTCTCGTATTTAATTCTTTTGACAGCAAACTGAGTAACTTTCTAACTTGAAATTTTGGGAGTTTACTATTAATGACAGCGGGAAATTCACACCGAATTTCAAAACTTTGTGTAAATTAAGTTTTTTGTAGACCAAATAAAACATGAGAGAAAATCAGGAACTGTCAAATGCTGTTACACTGGTTCTAGCTAAATCCATCCATTTTGCCTTGGTATGTTGAGCCTTTGTCAGAGTATTACTTCATAGGGGAATCACCTCCTTGCAAACCAGGTTTCAACGCTCATTCTAGAGTGTTGAGTTAATTTTACCGGTGAAGTCTTCAGCAAAAGTTTTCAGAATAGTTTCGACTGGCAGAGCTTCAAGAGTCAGCTTCAACATTCAGATTCAATACCTTAGATTCTTTCCCTTTCGATACAAACCAAAATGTTAAGTTCCCCAGCATAATATCCAATAATGTATAAATCTTATGATAAAATTGAAAAAACTTACTTTTTCGAAAAGTTTCACAGAGGTGTCAGAGGGATCTACTTCCACTCTTTTTGTCCCTTCTGATGACTGGACTCTCAAAATCTGAAAAGACAAGAATATGTTATAAAAACTTAATTGGCACCTAACTTTTCATTCCCTCTCTAACATTGCTTGGTGAAGTAGCTAGCCTGGTGGATTGGCGTCAATCAACAGAAGTTATTTACAGTTATGAGAGATCCGAAGATGGACGTTACTCCTAAAAAACTATGCTATATATGAAAAATATATTTTACATTTTTCATAATAGGAGGATCATTTTGATATAAGTAATGATGTTCAATTAAGTGCCTAACTAGGCACAGCTTATCATATTCATTCAATCGATTATTTTCAAGCAAGGGCAACATCACACCTGGCAAGAGGCTAAAAGCTCTTTGTGTCCAGCACATTCAATCCTCAGATGAACAAATAATTCTCTCGGTTCCAATCTTGAGCAAAACAAAGGGTACAATAATAAGGCCTTAAAAAATTACTTGTGATGGAAAATGGATCTGTCCCTACATAAAGATCACAAAACAGCATTCTCACTGTGCATCCAATTACTTTGAAATTAAGGTAGGAAACTACTATCTAGTACATCAAAATAAGGGGACAGAATTTAATCTCTTGGGAAAACTGTATTTCTCAGGTTCTCAGAGAGTTTCCAAATTTATTCAGCCCAGAAAATAGGAAAAATGGCTGGAAATGACAGAAAATTCCCAAGCATAGTAATTAATTGATATTGCAAATTTCGAAAATACGCAGGCTAATTAAATGTCTGCTAACCATCTGACTTTGACAACTAATACTGATTAGGAATTTCTTCACACAGAGATCGTTCATGAGAGGAGACATTTTCATTAAAAAAGATTTGGATCTTAAAAATCATAGATTTGAAACTCATCATAGGAAAACTGATGATAAGTGCTCCAGGAAGAGTCCGATGCGAATGGAGAATACATTCACTCTTACAAAAATCGCTTATGTGCTTAGGTCATGTATGAGACCGCTCCAGCCTCTGATTTTTTTAATTTGAGTGGAGTAAGTTATTGATCATCTGAAAATTTCCTAGCCCAGGAAATAAGTGATGAGCTGAAAAATCATTCTGTCCAGAAAATACTTTTTTCCTCCGTAAGGTACAAATTTTTTGAAGTGTCGAATTTATGACAGAATAATGATCATTAGATAACAAAGGAGAGATGACCAAGAGCTTCACCAGTCAAAAACGCTCATCCTCGAAGAGCGAATATTCCTGGGAAATATGATAGGAAAGGAGCATAAACTGCAGTAATCGTTCAAAAATTTTCTCCGCCTAATAATAGGTGGGAAGAGAAAATAAAGTGATTTCGACATGACTAAGCAACTGCATTACCTGTAAAGCAGACTAAGTGAGGTTATGTGTATCACAGATAAAACGAATTTAACTATTCTTATCGGGATTAAAAGAAAATGACCGAGAAGTCGGTAATATACTTACGATTTTTTTGGCCATCTCGACGATTTTTTAACAATTAACCTGTGGAAATTTCACATCATATCATGCTCAAAAACCATTGCAGTGGCATCAAACCACACTGTCTCCTTCTTGGATCTGAATACACTGTGCACACACACACACAAACCAAACACACACTCACACTCACAGAACGTACACAAAAAACTGCTGTTCACGAAGCAAAGGAGGCTGCATTCGCCTCGTTATAATGACGAGACGAGTATACTCGTCAGACCATAAAGTACTCTATGATCAGGACATATCTCAGCTGACGAGTCAACTTGCGCCATCTGTCGGCGTTGCGACGCTAGAAATGCCATCTATTAGCAAAGTGGAAAAACACGACCAAAACAATCGCGTAGCAACGCCGACAGATAGCGCGAATTAACCAAATTAACATATGAACTCGTCAACTAAGATTATGTCCCAGGCGCGCGCTGGCGAGTAGGGTCCACTTTCTCCACCCCTCCTCTTTCCAATTTTATCTATTTATTTATATTTATAATAATTATTTTTACATCTAATAACACCGATCCCGAAAAAGCCACTTTTGAAAAAAGGGTTATAGAAGAACAGTGGATTATCAAAACCAGTGTTTCAAAATATGGCTATTTGCTAGAATTGCCTTGTTTTCCCACAAATTATGCTTATCACTTAGGTATGCAAAGTGTTCCATAAATCAACTTTTTTAATTAAGTAATGAAAAAACTGAACCAATAAAATTTTCTCTTAAATCTCCAGTCTGACCTGGAGAAAAGAGGCAAAAGAAGTAAATCTCAACTGACGAACAAGATGGCCAATGAACTGACATATTCGTATTCAAAAAAATTTTTTAGTAATTTTTTTCGTGCAGATCATTTCGAAACAGCTCTTCCCTTGACTCTCTGTCAACCTTGTTTCTTGTTAAATGCTCATTTTTACCTGTCTGCATCTGGAGTATTGTTTCCTTCAATTTTTGGATGTTTGTTTGAGTGTTCCATTATTGCGTACCTGCTAAGCTTGTAAGCACCTAGAATGTCAAAATTGTAAATCCCATCTGTCTATATTATAAGTACTTACTCTTTTTCAAGTTACTTGACACATTTTTTTAAGTGTATCATCTACATCTAAAATTTAGAAACGAATAAATTGGAAATCAAAATATGGTGATGATAATCAAATATCTTTGTTGGTTTACAATTGAGTTTTTTGGTTTTTTTTTAGTTAAATGTTCTTGTCCTTTCTTACTTGTGGAGAATATATCTAGTAAGCCACAGGGGAAAGTTATGAGAATGTCTGTCATTGTTCCTGCAACCACATACAAATAGTTTTATTAGCGACATGCCGCACTCATCCTTGAGTTCCATCTCCATTAATTTCAAAGGGTCTTCTGGTAACTATGGTCGGGCTTCAGTTGCACATACTTACACATAGTTATTTTATTAAGGTGATTCCAGGATTTGTCAACCTGTGGATTGAAAACACTTTGATAAATAACTATGAGTTTTATTGGGATTATTTCAAAAAAGCGGATCCACAGGAAGTATATCTGCATCTCAAGAGTGCCCAATTAAATTTTGAAGCTGAAAAACTGAAGAATAAAGTCAACAGTAGGTAAGTATACAAGAAAAAATTTCATGGATTGTGAAATTTTTTCAGAAGTGTTTTTGACATTTTATTTTTAAGCTTTTTAACCCCAAAATTTAATTATATTTCCTTGAGAAATTAACTCCTGAAAATCCAATTTTTTTTTTAAAAAAAAATAAAAGTCCCTGAATAAATTTCATTATTAGTCAGAACTGCCGCTAGGAAAGTACTGCGTGACGCTGCGCGTATGCCGCTTGTGTTAGTGCTATAACGCCGCTCCAGATGCAGCGAGAAGCAGCGCTCGCACTCGGACTCTGAGTCCGATGCAGGGTGTCCACATTTAGCTACACTGCCACTCCTCTCTGTGGATAAGCAATTGCGCGCTAGCTCCGATCCACTGCTTTATTTTGAATTTTCCTTGAGGGTTTTTGAGTAAAAAATACAAAATCCAATAGTTACAAGAATGTAACACTCTATGAACTTTATTCATAATTTCAAAAGATTTTTTTTTCATTTTAGACAATTTCTTTTATGCTTTTTTTGTTTTTTATTACACTTGCATACACGATCAATATTTACAAAATTAACGTTAATATCACTTAAAGTTACCTTAAGCTTAGCACAAAAAGATATCATCCAAATTTACTTAAGTAAGAGACTAAAATTGAAAGAGAAACACGAGATATACTGAGAGGAGGAAAACTTTCATGGAAGAGAGAAGAGAGAAAAAATACATGGACAAACCTCATCTACATGTCATGCAAAATTTACACTCGATGTACAGAGTTAAAGATGTTTTGGAGTGTTAATTACATTGTTCTCTGATCCACTGATGAGAATAATCTCAACATGAATTTATTTTGTTTTAAAAACTTGATTCTCTTTGAGTTCATTAGTACCTCTTAATGAGACTTGGATATTAACTTAACTGAAAATGTAGCAATTCCAAAAATGTACAGCATGTTTTGATTGACTTGAATAATTAAATTGTGATTGGCAAAGAATAGGCACGGCTTAGGGAAGATCTGCATTATTTTTTGGGCGACGTTTGGAAAGTCAATCCATAAGTTACTCATTTTTTTCTTTGTATGATATCGATTTGATTTATTTTTAAAACAGAGCTGAAAAGGGTGAGTAGAGGCAGAATTTGTTTGCCTCTGAATGGTCAATAAGACATTGCTGAGCGAAAATGATCATTTTAAGCATAGGACCAGCAAATTTACGAACAAAGTCTACCTGTGGCCAACAAGGTTGAAAAGGGGTTCATGATGACTGTTTGTCAAAACTGAAAGTAGATTCAATGAACAAAATGTAAATTATCTGCTGTACAAGATAAATTTGGAGGGAAAAAAAGTAGGGCAGAAACTTGAGAAGGAACTCTTCTTGAAGAAGGGAGTCAACCTTAAAACATTGAAGAAGGATCAATTCAGAGGTGGAAAAATGCCCCTTTCTGAATGACTCCTTTAAAATGTGATGAAGTATATAAGCGGCGGTGGCTTCATAAAAGCTTTTCTTTTCACCTCCAGTAGAGGTGAAAAAGAAAAAAAAGTGGTAAATAAAATTATCTTTTGGCTGGAAAACAATTATACCATTTTCTTTGACTAAAAAATAACATTTTAAGACTGTTTGAACAACTGATGTAAAATAACAGCCTCTTGAGAATAAAACGAGAAAACTCAATCTTAAAACTCATTTGCTGTTCTCCTGAAATTCAAAGATTGAAAATTTTTCAATTTTTTGTTACTCGCCCCCCCCCCCCCCCCCCCAAAGTGTTGCGTTCACAAGGACTATAGCATTCTATACTTCATCCATGATGAAAACAAATTTTGATTTTATTTATAAGTGGGAAGATCTGACCTCCATAAATAATACCAAGAGCAGCATCGGATAAGAGGTAAAAAAAGAAAAACCATGAGATCTTAGAAAAGAGAGAACTGACTGAATGGAAAGATATTACAACAATTATGGAAGGGACTTCCACAAAAATATTTGAAAAAGGAGTTGAAAGATGAAAACTTAAGAGTAAAATTACTTCTATGATTGCCATCGAGTAATCAAGATTTTGAATCGTTGCTATCTACAATTTTGTATGATTACTTTGCACTATGAGCAGTTGCTTCAGAGGTTCACTTTTCCTTCTGAGCTTGTTGCTCTCAGGTGTTGCTCATCTGATATGAGACCACTTTAAAACTACTTGATTTTTTGTTTGTTTGTTTGTTTTTCTGTTGTTTTTTTTTTTTTTCAAATACACTACACTAAAAATAAATACATGTTTTTTTTTTTATACCTTTCCTTTTCAGGTTTTTATGATTGAAGAATTGATAACATCTATAGCACTTCTGTAGACTTGACAAACCTTTTTATCTTACCACCAATGCTGAAAGGGGCGCATTTCCGGCCAACTTTTCAGGTGGAAAAGTTTGCTTAGAAGGGGCAAAATTTCAATATATCAGGGCAAATACCTATAAATGGCAAATACTCTCTGAAACAATGGTCGAACATTCAATCAGCTACTTAGTTGTACCTCTGACAGCATCAGTTCCTGAATATCCTAATTTAATTCTTCTTTTTCTTCTACTGACAGAATTAATTTAAAGTACCATGGGCATCATCTTACATTAAATTTAGGACTGATTATCCCAGAACAGAGAAATTAAGTTCAATCTAGAAGCGAATAAACCAATCTAGAGTACAGGATTGGCAAAAACTATGCGCACATGACATAATAGGCTACAGTTATTTAGAAAAAAATTCCTAGAGGAAACGCGGCACTTATCATGAATATGGCCCCAACCTACATGGTACATGGCATGAAAAATGATATCAAATGATCAGATGATTGAATAAATCATACGATCTCAGAGAACGTATTGTAATTAAGTTCAAGGATTATCGCTTGATGCTCTGAAAGAATCTGAGATGTGAATTAATGTAATCACAGTTTGGAAAGCATAATGCGACTAAGATACTTTCTAAAAAGCTACCTGCGGAACCTCAACATCAAAGTCTATAAAGAATCATGGTAATAAATTAGAGGAGCAGCTTCCAGAATAAAACAAAAAAAGAATCGCAGTGTTTCAAAACCTTCATGCACAAAAAAAAGCCATAATATAATCCAGAACAGATCTTGTTGCAGCACTAATCATATTTCTTGACAAAATTACATTTTATGTGACAAATTTGATTCTGTTCCTAATGAAGTAGTAATTTAACAAAGCTTCGATACATTATAGAACCTGTTTCAGTAAAGTATTTCCTTTTTGAGCATCTGTTCATGATTTACATTAATACACTAAAAAGGGAAGGCTATTCTGAAACAGGCTCCATTAGTATAAATATGTAATAAGATGACGATGGACTAAACACTGGTCCATATTTGAGGCTCTTAATTGTCAGAATGACACTAAAACAGTTCAATGAACTGACATAAAACCTTCAGAATTGCTTCATTTTTCAATTGAAGATGATTGAAACCTACATGGCATCAACAACAAATTTTACCACCTGAGTGGTTCCTTCTAAATTACTGAACAAAAAAAAATCTTTTAGAAATATTTCTACAGACCAAATAGGAAGGTAGGTAATGAAAAAAGCAGTTACAGAAGAAATTAAATTACCATGCTGTTTTGAAGTTTCCTTTTGTCTTTTTCTTTTAGGAGCATTGAAAAGCCATTACAGTGAATATATCCCTTATTTTTCAGGAGTCGCAATTTTCACGATTTCATTGTTTTAATCTATTTTTGATAAAACATTACGTACACTTATACAGGAATAAATTCCTGGTAGAGATGTTTTTTTGGCCTGAATGACACTGATACATACTACAGATGAGGGCGTAGAGGGCTTCAGCGTTTTACGCTGGGTTTCATAGTTTAGTAGCAGGTGGGCAGCTCCAGTATTTAAGAGAAGACTGGCGGGAATTCTTTGTCATCGTCCAGCTTGAAACCATCTTTGGGTGGCGTTTCGACTGCTGCTACGATTTCTTGAAATTTCTCCGATTCTGCATCAACAAATAAAAGAAAATTGCATTAACGGAAATGTTGCATAAGTACCTTACGAATTAAAAAAAAAGTCTGAGAAAACCTACATATTATGGGAAAATAAAAAAGCAAAGACTAACAATTCTAATGAATGTGCCTAAAAAACATTCCTTCAAAAATCATAAAAGGCATACCAATGTGCATGTCACGCAAACTTAGGCGAGACTCTGAGTTAAGGAAAGCATTGGCTATTGTGTATGTAAGTGTATTTCATATATTTGTAAAACATCGTCGGCGAGGCACACAGTGAGACTGGCTCAGTCACTTGACTTCAGAATCTAAATCCATTGTTTCTGACTCTGATTTTGATTATTTTAATCATCTCTCTGCCTGACGCGGAAGCTGTGATGGGAACTTCCCATGGAAAGTGATAATCCTAGGATTTCCTGAAAACTAGGATTTGTCCGTAACATATGAACTTGATATTCAGACGAGTTCTATATCTGTTTTGCAAATCCATGAAAATCGACCTAAATACATAGTTCCACGACAGAAACAACTGACTCATTTGAAAAGACTCACAGTCAGTAGTGCTAGATTACATAACTTTCATCGTCAAGACTTGACCAATATTAATCTGATTGATATGATGGATATTAGATGGAAGGAGAGATCTATTAAGAAGGTGAAGAGTTAGGAGTGGTTGAGCCACCTTTAAAATTCTATGAATTGGCAAAAAAATGTCTATCTTGTCAAAAAAGATTTTATTACATCTCTTTGTTACTATGTAATACCTCCTGCCTTTATCGCAAAATTTAAACCCGTAGGTCTGGTCGTATCAGTGGAGCACTGGAGCTCTGAGCAAAGGAGGCCTAATATCTGTGAAAAACTTTTTTTTACTATAATTTGGTTGTTCCATTTTCCAAAATTATGGAGGAAGACTTAGGGACCTAAGTTGATAAAAACATTGAAATGTGCCCATCAATAGGAACTCTGTACAGCACATTTTATGGCGTCATCTAATATGGGAAAGTGTAGAAATATAGATTTGAAAGTGAGAAAATGTACCACCTTGGGGCATTATCATGCGACATTCCTCTTTTAAACATGTGCATCTTAGCACATTAGGTATTTTGGTTATAACCTCCTCAATACTTGTTCCATTCAGAACCAAAGATACCTATGCTTGTGCAGTTCTGTCAGTAATTTTCAATTAGACATGAAATTCATCATATTTTAAACGGCTGAAAATTCGTCATTATCAAAATGCAGGTTCAGATTTAACCATAACACATGCATTAAATGGAAATTGAACAAGTCCAAGAAAACGAACTGCTGGAAGTCAGACAGAAATGATGTAGGCATCGTGCACCATTGGACAGTGCAGTGAGTAATTTAGAAAAAATAAGCAGACAATTAAAAGATACCTCTCCTAATAAAGGCAAAAAAAGATCATAGAGTAAAAATTATTACACTAATAGCAACATTTGAATGATACTTAGCAAACATTTAACCTGATGAAAAATTAACATTTCCCTATTGTTGCAACACATGCAGATAACTACAAGAAAAATCATTTTCGCTCCCTCAGCAAAACAACTTTGACGTGTAAAGGTTTGAATGCACAAAATTCTCATGTTCACGAAATGCAAATCATGGTTTGGACCTAATTGGATAAAAATACATTTACAAAAACGCTAAAAAATGCAATTTGTTAAGTCTGTTGAGATGCAAATAACTACAGTTTCTCAAAAATGTTCATACATCTAACCTAAAGATACAGCATGCTCAAAATATCTACTATAACAATTGATGCAAATATGTGCCGCCCTTATTATTAAAAACAAGTTGGAGTAGGGCATTGAATCTGACAAACGGTTCAGCTTTTCAATAGTAACCTAGCCTCAATACTTCAACAAATTTGATAAATTTTCACCCCCTTTTTTAAACTAAATATTTTTAAATACAAGGAAATGCTACATTTTTTCTTCATTTTATACTCTGAAAGAGAACGAATGAATTCACACGAAAGTGAACTGCACTTAACCAGGAGAGACCAGCTCAATTACAATGTTTTTAAAATCAAGATCAAGTTACTTCTTCTTTGCTTTAAAAAATTCAATATAACACTACTAAATACTAACTTACACTACATACTACTATTTAAGTACAGTGATAAAATTTATTCGATCATTTTTTTTTTTTAAATTATAAATTTTTTGATAGAGCCTTTTCCAATTCACAGTTATTAATAATAATACATTAAATAACGAAATGTAAAGATGAAGATACACGATTTTAACAACACAGTAATCATCGCGATTTCCTCTTATTGAATGCAATCCAAGTATTCAATTAACAATAGATTCCCTACCAAGAGAGATTTATTTTGAGTAAATACTTTGAAATTAGTATGGTATAGTAATGATAAAAAACCTATTTAACACTGTCTTTGATAGGGATTACAATGGCTTTATTCACAAAAAGAAATTTGTCTGGTTGGTAGAGAAAATAAGAGCAATGCCTACAAATGCTAGGGCCCCTGTATCAGAACGTACTTTACTTGGGAATTCTGTTAATTATTTTTGGGCCACCAATCTTAAATCTTATCTAAATATTTCATTCTCTGGATACAAAGCAACAAGAACAAGAGCAGCTCTTCAATGTGAAATCTATTGGTGAGCAGCCAAAGTGCAACCATGGCTGCACTATTGTAAATATGCAGCACCAATAAGACAGCCTTGCATTTGCAAACCCAAAGACTTGCGTCCGAGATGAGACTTGAAAATTTTTTTCTTTTCAATGTTTGTTTCGTTCACATTGTTTCGTTCACATGGATCGCCATGAGAAAGCTGGAGCTATCTACTCATAAATAGCAGCCCTATTGGTGAAAGGTAATTTTCTCCTGATACAGAGGGAGGGGTATGAAATAAATAAAAATAATAACACAATCGAGATGCACAGACAAATTCCTAGAGTAAGCCTGAACCTGCTAATTTACAAGATTATTACATATATTTTATAGTGGATTAAGAGCAGAAGAATGGTGAAAGCATAGCAGAAAATCTTGGAAACTGGTATGACAATCCATCAGTGAATTTCAACAACAGACAAAATATTTTCCCATCTCTTCCAAAACCAAAAATAGGATCAAGTTAGGAAGAATATGAGAATTTATAAAAAATTATTCCAGGGATAAAGAATAGGATAAAATGCTGACACTTGGAGGGATATAGAGAGAAAAGCGCAAAATTGTTGATAAAATGGTTATTTAGATGAGACAATTACAGATTCACAGAACATAAATGCGGTCTTCTTGAAGAAGTTTGAGCAGTGTGCTCCTATTGAATTTTTATTCTCCGTCTTCAATTATCACCAATTTGATAGTTACTCTCAACAGTTGAACTCTACAGCTAGAATTTTTTTATATATTTAATTCCTATCATCATCTTTCATTATTTCTTCACCAAGCAGCAGGATAACTCTTGAAACTAGATCATCTTGCAGAAAATTCTGTTTCTAAACGATAAAATTTATTGATAATTATGAAATGGCAGACAGGATATTTTCTACGGGTAATCTCACATTTGAAATTACAGATTTTCGCATTTTATTCGAGAGTTTTGGAGGAGCTGGTATTTGACCACGACAAATATACCCTATATAACTACCCAAAAAGGTAAAATGTGTATTATACTAATCCGAAAATTATGGTACTGTGGTAAAGAGGACGCTTTGTTTCTATCTTTTCATTCCAATCTGAATGCAAGAGGAGTAGAAATTTACTGCTATAGGGATACTGTATACACATTTTTTGGATGCAAGCATTAATTAAAAAGAGAAGTCAATACCTGACATGATGCCGGGGGAGTTGCCTTTGACGATGCCAGCATAGCTACTGATCCCGGTTGTACCTGGGAATGTCGTTAAAATGTCAAAGTGGGAGAAAAAAATTAAGAAAACAGAGAGAAGAAGACTCAAAGAATTAAAATTTGCCTTCTAGTCTTTTCTTTTTTTTTTCTTCATTACAAACTAGGATGAGGGGTTTTTAATGCAACAGATAAGAATGGGAAGGTACGACTAAAGTTACATGAAAACAATTTGTCAGTTACTAATTTTTCAAGCCTGGAATAAATGAAAGAAAGTTAAGGAAAGAAAAGTCAGATATTGCACGAGGATTTTGGCATAAGGGCGCTTTTAAATAGCTAATTTCAGGAGAGCAAACTGAATGATGGCTTCACATGATACATGTCAGGCGAAATTTTTGCAAATCGATCACACTTTTGCAGGTTGCGGCTGTTTACAATATTCTTTAAACCAAAGGGAGAGCAACTTTTTGATTAGAAGCTTATTTCTTGCTATGAAAACTCAAACACTCCATCTGACACTCATGTTCTAAAAATCACAGCCAGAGATTGAGACTGTTAATTGGTGAGTATCAAACAGCAGGAAACAAAAAAGTCAACTAACTTTCAAGGCAAAACAAAAAATCAAAACTACATCAACATTTATTCATAACTCCAAAACTTGATTAGTTGGGACTATTAAGTATTAGAGAGATAGTGTGTCAGTAGAAAACATAAAAAATCAAAATTAAACACATGATCGAATACATTTAGAGGAAAATGAGAAAAGTACGATTTCAGTAACAACATACACACTTTTGGATGCAGTCAACTAATAGCTAATACGCAAATTTTCAATTTTATCAGAACAAGTTGTTTTCGTTTTACGATTCCTTTCAAAGTGTGTGAAAAAACAAAACTGAAAAGTGCAAGTTTGATCTTTCTGTAGAATCTGCCAAAATTTATCAAATAAATCCGACAATTGGACTCATTGAATCAATGTGAGGAGAGAGAGGATATGTTAAAAGCCTGATATTGTTAATGCAAGGAATAAAGGAAAAGAATATTTAAAAAGAGCATCTAATTTTGAAAAATCACCTGGGAAGCTGAAATATGTTCAAAGATTTATGGATTCGGCATGATAAAGAAAATAAACATGCAACCTAGTATTAAAACAAATAAACAAACCAACTTCAAAACATCTTGGTGCTCAATAAATTAAAAAATTACTATTTCTAATGTGGACCAAATGGAAAGCTCATGCTTCAACATAAAATTACTCACTTAGGACAAGTAAAAAATATGAAAAGTCTGACACTGTCAATCAAAAAGTAGGTATACCTAAATGCATTAAAAAAAAAAAAAAAAAAAAAAAAAAAAAAAAAAAAAAAAAAATCCAGATACGATAGCAAACACCTCAGTTAACAATAAAAAAACCACATTTGAAAGGGATAGGCACCTATGATTTGCCAAATTAAAATTAATTTTGAAAGGGTGCATTCCAAATCAGGAAGGGTTCTTGTGGACTGGGAGCAGAAAAAATGTTTCGCTTTCCTGAAAGTAGGAGAGTTGATTGAGAAACGTCTGGTGAGTTGAAACAGATTTAATCTCAAATTCTGGCTCTTGTGCTGATGTCCCGGACAGAACAAAAAAATTTCCATTATCTCACTCGCCTTATTTTTAAGTTGCTTGAAAGCTCTCACTGTCTTTCTTTGAGGATAAATAATTTTCAAATATTTCCTTCTCTGATACTTTTCATCCTACATGCACTTTAACTGCACTCAGAAAATTAGGGCTCATAGCTGTTCATTTATTTAGCACAAAATCGACAAGCTCCTTTAAAATTTATCATGATTCCTTGGTCGCAAAATCATGATGATAAAGGGTCAAGACACTTCCCAATACTCAATTTTACAATCTTTATTGAATCTGCATCACATGCATTTTTAATAAAAGAACAAGAACTGAATTGATAGTCACTACAAATTTTACTCCCCTGCATATTTTGGCTTTGGTCCCACAATTCAAGGTGATTTTAGACATAATCAGACAGCCTGCTTTTTTTCCCTCCACAAAAATGTACATAGGGGGTAATCCGCTACTCTAAAAACGGCTTGGATACATAAAAAGAGCAGATATTTTGAAAGGAGCATGGTGATACTGCAGCAATAGATTGAAAAATGAGGGATTCAGGGCTAAAAATATGTACCTACGGCAAATAATAAGGCAAATATCTTTGAACTCGATCAATGACACATCTTCTTCCTCTAAAATGAACTTCAAATAAACTGATCAGCCTTTCATCCAAATGTATTGAAAGTTGTTTCAAAACTACAGTTCTTTCAGTTTTTTCTCTCCACACTCAGTTTTTAATTTTCGAGTAAACTTGACTCAAAAAACATTGGAAAAATATTTTAAATACAAATCAGTTGAATGATAGAAAAATGAAGTATTGACTCTGTGGATTCCTTATTAAGTCCTATTCTTTTGAGACATTAAGGCGTTAGGACCTACAATTCTCATTGCTAAAATTGCGTCATCGGAAGAATGCAAAACAAGATGTGAACATTACGATTTTGGTAAACTATCAATGCCTTCTACCTGTAAAATGATTCATGAACTAACTCCAAGACAAATTAAGTACCCCTCTAACTCAATAAATATAAATGGAGTGACCATTAACATTCATTACCCCGACAAAGAGGGCGTTCTAAATCAAAAAGTGATCACATCTTTGGACTCAACTATCATGGTCAGCTGTTTTGGATCAACTGTTCGGCAATGAAAAATGTTGACACAAAATCTGAATGGTGAAAGCTTACGAATTACAAGAGGTATGATGACGTATGGAAGCCTTACATTCATGCAGTCGAGCTAAGAATTGGGTTCTGGTGAAGAGTTTGATGTGGGATTCATATGATGGGTTTGATAAAAGAAAAGAGGCTACAATGACCAATTTTTCGAAAACAAATTTTTCTCCTCTTTTTGTCTATTTATGTGGCCGCCTGTTTGAATGTTTCTCTTTTGACTATCTCTCTGCTCTTTCTGATTATTCATACAATCATACATGAGTCCAGTGAGTTGACTGCTCATTTTGGCACGAATTAAGAGGATTAGTAGGCGAGACAACTTGATTGAACCAGAATTTTGCGACCTGATGGAAACACCAAGTAAAAGATTGATTTGCTCTCAGAGATAGGAAAAATAAAAAAAAGGAAGAGGTCTATCAATAATTAAAAATAAACAAACAGGAAAAATTGAGAAGGACCAATACCTGACCTTTCCATGAATACTAACTAGAAAAGCATCTAAAACATTGCAAAAAGAGAGAGGAATATATTATGAAATTTGGGAAATAGCACAACAACTGTTACAGCTCAAGCTTTGAAGTGATGGAAAAAAGGTTCAAACTGCACATGAAAACTTCAAAAAAAAAAAAAAAAACACACACATGATTTTTTTTCGCACAGACTTGCATGAGACTGAGGAGGTGGCACAGAGGAAAAGAGTGGAATCATCAACCATAAAAGACCATAATGACTGGAAAATTGCAGAGACCATTTAAACGGAATTTTTATTTTTAAAATTAATTGTTCCTACGGCATGAAGGCGAGTAAAAAAGTGTAATTTACCTTTAGATTTCTGATCATTGTTGATTGATTTGGGTGATGCTGGTTTTTTTGAATCCTTATTCACTGAGATTGGTGAATCTACATGTTCCAAGTAACCGTCCAATCTAACAATGATAAACAGCACAGTTAAAGGATGGAGAGCAAGGCTTAGACGAAACAAAATACATACCCAATGAGTCTGTTACACACAAGAGATAAGGCTAACAAACGGATTAATCAGATTTACTGCAATTGAAGTAGGTCATGGTTTAATTTTAAGAAGATAAAAAAATTATTATTTATTATCGTTTAGGGCAGGCTGTAATTATTTAGAATTTTGGGTAGCTTTCTAGCTACTACTCACAGTGTGCAGACTCCTTTTTGCTATATCTGCAACAAAATTCCGTTAAGCGCATCAGAATTGGCTAAAATTCGTTCCATGGCACCATTATCTAGATAGTTTATGTGCACAATTTAAAATTTTTCCAATTTTTCTAATTTTCTGAGAAAATTCTTGAAAACGTAAGCCCTGGCTGGTGCGTGGCATGTGGAAGTCTGTGAGCTTATGAGAAAATTTTTGCATCATAAGATTTTTTTCCTTTCTTTCTTCTCCTTTTGGCAAAAATTAAGAAAAACACCAAGGCATGATGATTTTTAGAATTTTTTTGCTGTATGCTTGTGTTTGATGTTTTTACAAAGTATGGAAATTTTGAGACTGAGATTGGGACTCCTGACTCCTAAACTCCTTTTTACTCCAAGGGTACTTTCTGCACCCTTGAGATACTAACCTACACAGAGAACCATCTTGCAGACAGTTATCAATCCTTCTTGCATATAATTTCAATTGTTTTGCAGCGTTTGATTCAGCATATTTTTTTGACTCAGGAGAAAATAAAACCACTTAAAAACTATTGAAATCATAAGGGAGAAATATTAATAGCGGTGTGAAGATCGCTTGTTTACTTAGATTCCTTACAACTCTCCTGGGCAAACTTGATTCCAGGCAGTTGAGAAAAGAGAACCTTCAAACATCATAAATTTGAGAATGAGTGATACAAACTAGCAATGTTGTGTTGAAGAGTAAATTTTTAGACAATTCCGATGTGCTTGACATGATATTTTTTTTTGTGTAATTTTAGAAGGTCGACTAAGGTGGCTATATCTCTTATCTGCAACAGACACATGGGCCAAAAAAGAGAGCAGCTGTACAATACATAGGATACTTTTAGGATTGTGAGGACAGCATGCACCACAGTGGCTAAGGAGCAGGTCGATAGTTGAAATTTTGTTTGTCAACTGCATGAGACAAGAATAAAGTGGAATGGAGCAATACAATTAGTCAGATGCATCCTTTATTTCTTTGATTAAGTTTTTATCAGGCCAGATAATTGAGTAGTTATCAGGCACTGAAAAAAGCCTAAAGTTTGCCCATTATTAGGTCAGATAAAGACTTGATACAGAAAAAAAGCACAGCAACTAATCAATCACATAACCTCAACAAACCTTAGTCTTGTATCATCCAGCACACGAACCAAGGATTTAAACTATCAGCTTGTGAAACCCAACTCTTCTTCCGAGATTAGACTGGTCTCAATGGGATTCGCGGACCATTTAGAGTGAAAATTTCTCAAGTACTTCCCTTTCTCTTTCCTAGCTTATTTCTTTACTTAGGGTTATCGTAAAAAATAGAAGGTCTGTAAAATTTAATACTATATTTCTGTCTTGGACTTCCTCCTTCACAATTTATGCAGTGAGCTTTGTGAACTGCATGGTTTTTTCGATGGTATACCTGTATTTTACAGTAAAAGATCGGTTTACGAGAAGAGACTAAAAAACTTAAGACAGTTGCAGTTCAAATAATTAATCGCCTAACCCAACAGCCCGATTCTCATCCAGTTGACAAACCCAAAATTTCAAGAATCGGGCTGTTTGTTGCTTAGAAGAAATAATCATAGTTACGAGGACACACAAAATTTAAATTTCCAACATAAAAAATCCCATTCTTGTTTGGATTAGCTCGTGCAAAAGTACTCTCACACTTCAACAGCATCTGAGGAATCAGTGACCGGATTTTTTTTTTTTTTTTTTTTTAAGTCTCTTTAAGGAGGGCATCAATAAATTAAACCATGCAAAAACCCACAATATTACAATGTATTTTTTGATCTACTGGTATGAATCTCCATTTAGACAGCATTCCTCGCTCCAGGATAATAAAAAGAATAACTTTGTGCAAAGTAAGTCTGTGGCATGCTTTTGAATTTATTGAGAGTGTGATGACACAGAATAGGAAATCACAAAAAAAAACAAGACAGTAAATTTTGCTGACCACTCAAAAAACTAAAAAAGGGTTAGAAAGTAAGAGGTATTGACTTCAATTGACATTAAGTCGTAAAATTCTCTGAAGAAAACAGAGTTATGAATTTTCTATGTACTGCTCCTTCTAACCATTAAAAAAATTGAAGTTTATTTAGCTCCTTTATAAACTTCCTAAGCTTACAAAGACACTTTTTGATGAAAAGTGTGCACACATAATACCTATCATTATTAGGGTCTATCTACTTGCTCTCACAATTACAATTTGGAAACCAGTAATTGCTTTGGGAATATTATTAAATTCCTAAAGTTTTCAACTGCCCATGCTGTTTAAAAGATATTGAACTCACCGATGCTGTTTCACCAGTGTACAATCCCCGCTTTCTCCTGTGTCCAAATTATATACATACAAATAGCCGTCCGATGAAGCCACCAGCAATCGAAGAGCTCCCTGAATTCTAGAAAATGGGAGCAAAAGAAATTTAGAGGTTGGTTTTGGCATTAAGAGCATTTGCGGCAGTCTGATTCTCGATGGAAATATGTATAAAATCTAGAGTAAAATTTGCTGAGAGGAAAGTAATGATGTGCATCAAAAGAGCAGGAGCTCTCATATTTGAGAAGCTACCATTGTTTACTTATGCAGAAGGATGTGTGCAAATAGGGTGTGCTCAGAGTATTAAGGCCGAGATATTTCACACTTGAATGCCTTCTCAAAAAATTGAAGTTAAATATTGAACTTCTTTGTATTAGACATTTTATTATAATAATTGAAGAATTTCACTATCCACTACACTTACAAAATTAGCACAGCTCCAACAGGCTTAGAAAAATACGAAGATATTGAGGTTCACTGCACACTTCTTAAATGGAAACTGATAGGACAAAAGGAAGTCTTCCTTGAATCTTTTACTAATTTTTTAAAAATATGCCTTGTATTTTTTCAAGAAAAGTGGAATCATAGTACAAGCTGACAAAATTTTAGAGCAGAAAATTTTTACCAGTTGAGTTTAAAAATCAGATTTTGAAATTTTGACGGACAGCTGTTTCTAGTGTCCTTGGTTGGTAGAATTGGTTGGTTGATTCTTGTGCCAATAGGAAATGTAAAAAGGCTCGGCTATTTTGTTACCTTTGCTAGTACAAATAATTTATAATCCTGTCCTTGTATTTATAATGAAACCACCTACAGATTTGTCATTTATAATAAATGACATTATTCCACTACTTAATTTTCTATTATTTCCCTTAAATCCAATCTCAAAGAACACCCTTTACAGACAAAAATGCATTAAAGACCTACAAAAGAGCTTCTAACACAAACAAGAAATAGATAAAAACAAGACTTACTTTGTAACAGCACACACATTTTTCTTGCCTTGAAAAGGCAAATGCACAGAGGCAAAAGCACGTCCTTGATTGAAGACATCAGTTACTTGAGTTGGTAAATACGTTGCAGATAAACTGACAGCTTTGGATATATATCCCATCCAACTTTGATTATCATCTATGGGAGCGTGCATCCTGTAAAAGAAAATGACAAATTTGAGAGGAAAAAACTTCGAGCCTGCAGCTTGCCGCAACACATCAATATTCTGTGGTAATTGAGATTTTGATGTACACAATTTGACGATGAAATTTACTTTAGTACTTGAGATATTGATGTACACAATTTCATGATGAAATTGATAGAAAAATCATGATTAAAGTAGATGTTATGCAAAAACAATAAAATGGTTTGCAATATTATATTGTATCATTCGTCAAGGGTTTTTTTTAAAACTATTTCTCCATACATTAATAATCATTCATGTTTACATGATGTACTGCAAAATTTTGCAAGTTTGAATTTTTTTTTTTTTCATTCTTTCTTTCACAAAACATACCCCAAATGTATAAAATATGACATTGCAGATGTGATTGCAAAACACGTAACAAAATTCAGGACATCCATTCATCATGAGTAATCGTTCGTGCTATCTAGGATGTGAATACAATGAAGATAGTAATGATTCGGAGAATTTTCACTTTCTAGACAACGCTGTAAGCCTGATTGTTGATAAAAAAGAGTGACTTCACGGATTCCAGACAGGTGTAATTACATTGAACCAGCTGGGCAGTGGAACTTTATCTCTCATAACCCATCAATAGGCATTATATTAGAATTAACAGATTCGATCACGACTATTTTTATAAATATTGCACTTTCACAAGTTCATCTTTCAGAAAATATGGCCGTTCACCAAAGGCGTAGAAACCACTCCAAGCACCCAACTGGCCTGATCACATAAAATGAGGGAGCTCAACAATACGGGTAAAAATGAGAAAATCATTTCCTCGAAGTATAGATCATCGAATTATTCAGACATTTTTCTCTCATCATTATAGTTGCAGAAAATCACATTTCTTGGAGTTAAAGGCTTTCTTTGTCTTCAACAAATTTTCCAAAATAATATTTCCATCAAGTTTGGATGTAGAACAGAAGACTGAGTAGAAAACACTCTCTTGTCTCCTCTGAAATAAGTTTTGACCTATGGCGTTAATTTTTGTGCCAACTGAGGATGTAGAGGTAAATTTGAATTCAACAATTTTGAGCTCCAAAAGAAGCTCTCCTGACTTGAAGTAGCTATTCCTCTAAACTACGTTTTTTGAATGGCGAACTTCAAACCGTCATAACTTCAGCTCGGTTTGACATCACTGGCTATTTTTAGTGCCTAAATTTTTGTAATATACTCCATTAGGTCCTAATTATAACCGATCAATTTTGAGTTGTTCAGTAATAAGGTCCTCTTTTCTATGAGTGGTCATTAATGAGAAAATCACAATTGGTACGATTTACAATTAAAATCTGAAGCATAGCATTGGAAAAGTAAAGGTTGGAAAAGATATGAAGACTTACATGGATTCTTTTGGTTCGTCAAGTCGGAAAACATGAACAGTTTCCGTATTACTTGAACAACAAAGAAAAGATGAATCTGTCGAGAATCCTAGACTTGATATACTAACACACCGCTTGACCCCACGTCGAAATTCATACAACTTGACACTATCCACAATACTGAAGACTCTAATTACAGTTCCTTTTTCACTGGCAGTAGCAATCCGAGTTCCACTGGGGTTGAACGACAATGCAGCAAGAGGGCTGTCATGAGCAGGAATCATCGTTTTTGCATGCTGAAAAAAAAGACAGATCCATAAGTATAGGACAGAGTTGCAGATATTATTTTTTAAGATTTTTGGAGAGAAATGAGTGTCAAGAATTTGATTTTCACCTGGGTCCAATACCTTGGATAAACCTCAGAAATCAGCGTTTTCGGCGGAGATTTTTGGTCTGATTTTCTTCTACTTAAATCCACTTTAAAGAGTTAGATATTTCTTTGTTAGACAGGCTGCCTCAATCAATACACATTGTTGTATTCACATTGAACAGATAATTGCAGGATAGGAGTAGGGTGCAAAAAGTATAGAGATATAAGTAAATTAAAGTAAATATGATGGTAAAAGTTAAAAGTATGACTTTGAATATTAACATTAAACTGAACATTCAAAAGGTTCGATACTTTCTCAACATTTTTAACAGATCCACCTTAAAGAAAAAAAATTCTTGAATTCAATAAGTATCACTCTGGGCATATGAGACGTTTCACCCAGCCACCAAGATGCAGACAGAATCAGATGCAACATTTTTAAACAGAAACCTCTAACCTGTGATATATCCTTGGAGTGAGCGATATCACGCAAAAACCTCAAAAAAAGAGGGGCTTTCACAGGTCTCATAGGAGGTAGAGTGTTCTCTGCCTTCACATTTTCTAATGAAGCCTTAATACTACCCTACATTACAAACAATTCTTGGGAAAGCAGAACGTTCAGCAGTTCTCAGAAAAAAAAGGCAGCAAATTTATTTAGCAGAATGCTATCACTTCCAATTCATAGAGTGAGACAAATTCCACTGTGTTCACAATTTAGTTAGCCTTCACATTTTTTAAAATTACCAAACTGCAATAGACTGTTCGCACGATTGAACAATTATTGCCCTCCTAGACAACATTACACTTGCACTAGACTTTCCCAAGAGTGACAAACAGTTTTCAAAGTCATTATATCATGAAAAACGTTATGATCTAATTTTTACCAGGTAAATTTTTATAAAGCCATCTTGTTGGATACTTAAAACCTAACTGACTTCTGTGTAACAAGGTAATTTTATGGAAACTCTTAATGCTTGCATCATTTGGACAAAACATTCATTTTTACTCTAACATATGGACAAGTGAGAAGAAAGAAAATATTTTAAACTCACCAAATTAAATGCATCGAATATTTGAACTTCCCCTATCGTATTAGATCCAGGGTATGCCAGATAACAATTGTCCGAATTAATTGACAGCGTGCATAAACCAGTAGGGTTTGGAGGCGTGTCTCGAATTGTGTGAAGCACTTTCATGTCACGAATATTGTGAATGTAAAGAGATTCTTCTAGACAAACTACTAATCTCTGAAAAAATAGAAGGTTAAATTACAGAGAATAGTTTAAAGAGAAATCACAGTTTGTTTATGAATTGTTTAAATATGAAACATTTTCATACTATGATCGAAATAATTGAGCAATATTCAAAAAGAGAAGATATTTATTATTTTTATATACATCTTTATTTTTAATGTAATTCTGGTCACAAAAAATAGAGAGAATAGTTTCACATCCATGGAGAATTAATTTTTGAATCAATATTATGATGGGAGAGGAATGACGGATTCCTTTCATTTTACAATAGAAGTTTCATTCTTCTTGTTTTGATTTAATTTTCACTACCCAAACACCCAGCAGTGTTGCAGCCGGAGACATATCCCCCAGGGATGATTCCGGCAGTATCTGTGCAGATATGCAGACATGAGTTTGGTTGAGTTGGTCGGCTCGACTACAGCCCCCAATCACCCCTATTCCAAAATCTCCTGATCAGAGCACTTCCCTTACTTTTTAGAGCCAAAGTGACATATGATAGCTTAAGATCCCAGACAATCACCTAGATGAAACACTTTCTTGATATATTTCTTTTATATCCTGATTGTAATTTAATTTTTTTTCTATGAGAATAGTACAAAATAGGTGGGAGACGCACAGGTATTAAGCTGTTACATCTTTGAGAAGATTCGCCACTTTTTCTCATGGTCACAAAAAAAAAAAAAAAAAAAAAAAAAAAAAAAAAAAATCATTTTCACTGATCCTCCTGCATTATTAATTTCCTTCCTGCAGATGGTTGTGAGTACTTGGTGTTGTCTTTAACAGTATATCCTTAAAAAGGTAATTTTTTTCATAATAAGTTTCCTTCCCTTTGTAATGAGAGTCTCTGCTTTACAGAACGTGGCATTGATGGCTGTAATTCAGCAGCAGACTGGCATCAAAACAGTAACTGGGAATACTGGGCCATCATTGCTTCAATCAGCTCATTTTAGTTGTTTTTTTGCAGGGTGAAGGGGACAAACTGGTCCAAAATCGCCCTAAATATTGACCGGCCTACTAGGATTTTTCCCAATATTACTGTCTCTCCATCCGTTCCTGCCGTAATATGATGATATACATATTAACACCTTTACTTCCTTTCATTTTATTTGTAGAAATATTATTTGACTTAACATACTTACTGCTCGATTTAATTTGATTGCAAGGATAGTATTGGAGTAACTGTAGTAACATATTTCTGTGCCTTTTTTGAAATGACAGACTCTCAACTTCCTGGGAGCTGACAAACTAACCAATGCAACAAGGCTGCTGCTGAAAAGTCTTTCAATGATGCATGTGTCTCCTGTGTCTGAAAAATAGAAAGAATTGTTGATAAAATAGTAATGAGCTGTGCAGGTAAGGTTTTCTAATGGTGAATGCTTACAATTTGTAGCATGTAAAACACTTCCTAAATCTTAACTCAACAAAGAAGTGAGAAGTAATACTAAAATTACTTAGAGGCAAATTGTGTACCTACTAATTTTTTTCTCTCGCTAGTCTAAAGGTAGGTTTCCTTTACTCTGAAGTTTTTGGACTAGGAATACTTTGAAGCTTTAATTAGCAATAATTTGTGATCAGTATTCTCTCACATAATATTAATGCAAAGCAGTAAGTTGTGCTAGAAGGATTATTGTACAGATCTGGGCTCTACAACAGATACGAAAATGGTAGGTAAAGAAACTTTAACTGAAAATAGTGTAGGTTTTTGGATAAGGGTACCTTATTATTGTTTGTAATCTTGAGTGCCTGAGACATTAAAACACAATAAGATACTTCCAAGTAAAATGGTTTCATCACTTTATCAGATTGTGTTGTATTGAAATTCGGACATACTTTTTGTGTTTGGTCCGAATTAGTTTTTCTACTCTGATATTCAGTTCAGAAAGGTTCTCCTTTTAACTTGTGTTTTACTTTTTGACAAAGGACGACGGACCTNAAGAAACCATCAAAGAATCTCATAGGCGACCAATAAACCCGGGTGTCAAAACTGCCAATTATACGCCGAATTGGCAACTTTGACCCCCAAAATGGGGGGTAAAACTTCGAGATAGGGAGAAATGCCCTTTGACACTTTTGATCAGTAGGTTAAGACCTACAACATATCAAAACGCCAGCCGATTTAACCGGGCCCACTTTTCCCATAAGACCGGTCCGTCGTCCTTTATGCTTCGCTGCTGCATTTAGTAAAGACCCAAATGATGGACTGAGAAAGTTCCAAAATTACCATGGTTGACTGAGATCTGAAAGAAATTATCAAGACGAAACACACAAAAAGTAGGTCTTAACTTTGAAGATACTTACCATTTTCATAAATTTGTTCTAAGGTGTCCACAGAGTTGAGAGAGAAAAGTTTGTACCCTGTTTTTGTGCCCACAGCTAATGACCTGAAACAAAAACGAAATTTTTCTTACTTTCTTCCTCAGTTACTGGGTAGGTATAGGTGAAAATAATACCGCAAAGAAGAGGTGAAAAAACTATATGGATGAAAAACAATTCTACCATTTACGTTCATGAATGCCAAAAGCTTAATTAATTTTTGCACATTTCAAAAGTGGCAATCGAAATTAATTCGGACTTCCATCACCAGAATTTGTAATGAGAAAATTGATGGAGTATGAACTGACTCATAATACGATGCAGAAAGATTCTGGCAGTTATAATTGCTCTGCAGGGTAGTTCCATGATGTAAAATAGGTTGTTGGGAGTAGAAATACGGGTTGTCCCAAAAGTCCGGTCCACCCCTTCTATAATTTTACCTAATGCATATTTTGAAGTAAAACTTTGGGGAGTCACGGAAAAATGTGAGAATTTTAGGTCGCCCCCAAAATGTTTAGGGGTCCCCTACAGGGGAGGCTGCAGGCCCTAACTTTTTATTCAAACGGTTACCCCTCTTTTTATGATAGGTACCTACTTCAATCGAAAGAGTATTTGCAGAAGTATTTTTATTTATATTACATTAATTGTATTAATTATATTATGTTAATATTATATATTTTTTTATATATTTCGCAGAAAGATATTCAAAACTTTCGGTAAACATGATTATTTTACACAGAAGAATTTGGTAACATTCGAATGCTTGTGGGGCGTTTGACTCAAAGGGCCGTTCATAAAATACGTAACGCTTTAGGGGAGACGGGGGAGGGCGGTTGAGGAGAGAGTTACGCCATTCTGTTCTTACTTGTTTCAGGATAGGGGCCTACGTCACAAAAGCGTTGCGTGGGAGGGGGGGNGGGGGGGGGGGGGGGGGGGTCGATAAATTTGAAAAGCGTTACGTATTTCATAAACAATGAACGGCCCCATAGCACGACATACAATGGCGCGAAGCTAGACTCACAGGTTTCGACGTCATTTACGACGCGACCCGACGAAACGCTCTCTCACACACGTATTTTATTTATCCATCCTTTATCACAACTAATCGTGCGAAAAACCGCTATGCCGCGCGCGCTTCTGCTATCCACATCTTCGTTTCGTGACCTTCAAATCAGCTGCTATGATGCGCTACGACTGACTCCAAGAACGCTTCAAGGCATTTGAGCGAACGGCACATACATGAAACCCGCGGAAACTCTTGCAAAGAAAGATTGCCCGAATGAGAAAAAAGGATTCAGAATGAATTGCATAATGTGCTGGATCGCCGCGCAATGGATCGAGTCGATGGGGGAGGTCGGACGAAAGGAGACTGTAAAAGCTCTTAACTCCGTTCATGCAAAACTTTGAGGTTTTAAAAGTGGTTCCGTTGGTTTCCTCGTGAAGTTTTCATCTAGGAGTACCCCTTGAAATTTCAAATGTGACAAATTAAACATCAAAATTTGCAGTTTTAGTAAACAATTTCGATGAGTTCGACCTTTCTAGTTGACTCGATCCACTGTACGCTGGTGGACGGTGTATATTCCGTCAGGCGCAGTGTAAGCAATTTGAACATTGGGACGTACAGTATGTAACGGTGTAGCGTTGGAAGTATGTCTACGGTGTTGAAGGCGCTATATCGGGTGCGCGCGGATCCGTCGCGGCACTTTTTGCTGAAAACTCTGAAAGCGCTTTGACGAAAATATATAAGTAATTACTGCTCGCACACCGATTTTAGTGCAGGTAACTGTGTATCTAAATGCGTCTCGAACTATACGTAACAAGTTCACGACTCTCGAAGTTAACTAGACTCTTATTGACATTTTTGAACTTTATAAAGCGTTGCTTTCCTCACGAAATGGAGTGGGAGCAGCACTATTTTACCACCTTGTTGTTTAGTAACTGGAGTACAGGTGCGATCAGTGTTTTCCTTGAGCGTGTTCAACCCGCCCCACCGAGGAGTTGAAACAGCTGTATGTTGTGTCTAAACCCAACCATGTAGGTACATGCATTCTTCCATTGTTCAACGCTCGGTGCATTATTCAAATGCCGAGTTCGTCTTTCGGAAAGCAGCTCAGTTTGTTGATATCGCATTACAAATCTGTGCGACAGGAGTGTCCAAACAGTTGACCGAAATAGACGTCACGCCCCAGGGAAACACTAATTGCACCCCGTTCCCTATCGCGAAAGCCGGAGGCAGATCTCAGATTTCGCCCGCAAAATCAAGCGTATGCAACCCGGCCCGCCGCGGAGTTAAAATAGTTGCATGTTAGGTCCGAACCCAACTTCATTGTTTTACACTCCGCGCGTTATTCAAATGCAGAGTTTATCTTTCGGGATGGCTGGTTTAAATCGCGTTATTTTGTTTATATGAGTTTTTTTTTTTCTGTTAACTGAGGAGCCTAGTGGAAGTTATACGGGATATTCTCGGATAATTCCGATTCCAAAGGGGATAATGGAAAATGACAAAATGAATTTTAAACTGAAATTTTGTTACTTGAATTAATTTTCTGATGGGAAGAAAGACTGGGGAAATACTGATTCCGCTTTACACGGATACAACGAGAGCTTCAGTTGTATAATTTCCTTTATTGGAAAATGAAGTCCAATATGTTCAATCCTCTTTTCATAATCATGACATGGTGCTTTCAATTTTTGTTTGTTTGTTGCAAAATTGCATTTCTCCAAACTCTATAGATGTTTCTCATCAGGCTGGCAGTGACACAAATCTTCAAGGGTTGGGCCGCGGAGCGACCAAGGGGCGGACTCTCTGGTATTATTTAATTACGTATACAAGATTATAAAACAGCACCTTAGGGGAAAAAATTGACGGAATGTTTTTTACTTCTATTTTGTTTCAGGATTTCGTATTTACTTGGTTTATTTCAATTGTTTTGCTATTTTTTTTCTCTTTCTTTCAGTAATAAGCAGCCACCTAGAGGGTTCAAAGCGCCTTCCAGGGGGTCGACGGTGCCGGTGTAGTGGTCAGAGAAAAAAAAAAAAACACCAACAGAGCAAGCTGGTCAAAATAAAGGTCAAGATGAAGGCAGCAAGAGGAAAAAAAATCAAAGTAAAAGAAATCGGTTATTCAACTGAGAATACATGGTGATCAACGATTTTTGCTATGCAGCTATTAGCTCGGAGACAGCGACGCGACGACGCGACGCGCGGCGAGGCTGCTCTCCGATTGGTTAAATGACACACACTGGCGAGCAGTTGTCGGATTGTCCGATGACAAAGTCTACTGAAGATCGCAATAGCGGGACTAAGAACTAAAATAACATAAATACAAAGTAATTTCTTCAACGTTCAATTAAAGTCCACACGACCGTCGGGTAGGTGAATGCGCGGATACCCTGAGCCTTTTTCGGACGAATCTTAATCTGGTTGAAATTTAGCTTAAAAAATTCCAAACTTTATTGCAGTTCTTATTTAAAAATTTGCTGGACTGCATCGGAAAAATTAAAGGAAATAAAACTTGAGGGTCTGAGGGGGATCTGTGTCCTATACCACCTTCAAAAAAACCAAAGAACATGTTCAATGATAATGGGGAAATCAGCTAAAACTGGAGAGATGACCACAGACCTTTGACGATTTTAACATTTGCCTCTCTCCGTTTTAATTTCGTGTCTTTCAAACTAAATTTCGAAAGTTACACCTAGTAGAAGTCACGATTAAAAATTCTTCCATTTGAATGGGCTTTACAATGGTGAAAAAATTATGCTCAATACTGATGAGGTGATGGAATACATCCTCCATTGATCGTCTACATTGGTCGTAAACCGAATTCATGAAGAAACATTATAATAGCAATCGAAGTCTCGAGGAGTGATAGAATAATGATCAGAAAATTTAAGTATTGGGCTGATAAGTTTCTTTAATTGCGTTTATAAATATTTTTTTTTTTTTTAAATCCATACAGAGATTGGCTGTAAACACACAATAGCGACTGCTTAATGTCCCTCCTCCACAAAAAAAAAAAAAAAAAAAAAAAAAAAAAAAAAAACCCCGCAAGATACCAACCATTTTGTCTCTGATCAATTGACTTGAGACGTTTTGGCTGCGTTATTCTATAAGTTGAACTGTATTGGGCTGAGCGAGTTGTCGAGAAAAATGACTATACTGGCGACACCCACGCACCGCGCGCTGGAGCAACTGAGAGAGAAAAACTAGTTCATCTCAAAAAGTTGCTTTCGACAGTTGCCCTGACACAAATGACCGCGTGACATAGAATTGTGTTTTGATGGTTGCAATTCGACAAAACCCTGTCCAAACACCGAAGTCACCATATTTCGTGCGTTCGCGGATTTCCGGATACGGGATATACAGACTTCTGATGACTGAACTACATTTGGATGTATTTATGCCAAAAGGAACTATGTTGCACACAATCACAGTTCCTTATAGCGTAAATACGTCCATTTTGCGATAAGAAACATCTATTTTTGCGCATCATATTAACGAGCGATTCGACCAAAATTGCTGATTAGACGTCTTTTTTAGCATTCGAATATCTGCTTTGGTGGAAAAGGGACCTAAGTTCCGAGCCACCTTTCCCCCCGCTGGGTATCCTTTCTGATAGAAAGAACAATGAATAAGGGCAAAAACTATAATTTGTCATATTGTCATGGAACCCGCGAACTACTTGGTCATAATACTTCTAAAAATGACAATACTCAGCGGTTTCGGAGGCCAAACCTTAGAAAAAATGTATTCCTTGGCCACTTTATTCGACACTCCTCATGCGACTGCAGTCAACTCCGGATGACATGTGGAACATTCACTCATTGTTCGAACAGGAAAGGAAGGATTGTCAAAGATGTGAAGTTTTTTCATGTTTTCTTGGAACCTTCCTTACGGCGCTTACGCCCTTCTTCAAATAAATCGTTCGATTAGGCAATGCTGCGCAGATGTTGAGCAAAATTTCAGGTGGGAGACGCGCGGCTTGCAGACTGGTTGCTGATTGCTGACTATCATGGTATTCATGGTGAATCGGCGCGGCGCATTTCGCGTCAGCAGCAGTGCAAAAGAC